GATAGGCGGAGACCAAAGAGAGCCGGGGCAAAGGAAGAAGAAGAAGAAGAAGAAGAAGAAGGAAGAAGGAGCATTTGACATGCAGCTGTTGTTGGCTGCCAATCAGTTTATCGAGTTGTCGTATTAGGACTCGTGTGTGTGTGTGTGTGTGTGTACGTGTGCACCTGCGACGCGGCGCGCGGGACAAGTCGCTCGCTCGATGCACTCGCCAATCTCTTACAAATGAAATAGCTCTGTAGGTGCGCGGGAGCCGAGAGCGAAGGGTATAAACGACGGCCAGAAGTAAGTGCGCGCCTCTGTAAACAGCGAGTCGACCGAATAACGCACAGCTGACACAGATAGTTCTGCCCGCGCGCTCGCTGATCGAAAACTAACAAGTGATCGATCGACGCGTTTCTGTTCTTTGGCGCTGCCGCTGCTGCTGCTGCTCTTCATACTCACTAGGGAAATTGCTCGGGTTCTTGCGTGTGTAGCCTTCAAAGAGGATTTTCATTGCGACGAGGAAAGATGCACTCGGCCACTCGGAGCTCTTCTGGTTCGCGCGCGCGCTGGACAAGTGCGGCGGACTCGGGGGCAAAAAGTGAGCTTATTCACGCGAGCACTCGCTGTTATTTTCCAGCTCGTACTCCTCGCTCTCTTATACCTACGGCTGCAGCCGCCCCTGCGTGTGTGCGGTGCGGTGAGCTTGTGTTATTGTGCGCACTTATTTCTTATCTTATATAGCTATTGCTTTACTTTTGCTTCTTCTATCCCGAGACTTGCGCGCTCGGCAACTCGGCAGATAATGGATCGCCTGCCCGAGTGGGCCATGTAACCAGCAGAAATAACTTTCTACCTTTTCCCAACGACAATGATCAAACTTACCTGTACTGCGACCAACTGCTTTTTACGGCTCGCGTAAAAACTCACGAGACACGATGATACCTATCTCAGCATTACGGCGGCAAAGAAGATCGGACAATAGATTTTTTGATCGCACTAAAATTACACCTGATTCAGCATACAATTGAGCGCTATAATAAACTATGCGCTCGGCTCTATGTATCTTATCGTAGTTGTAAAAAATATCTCGGCATCTCAAGAAAAAAAAATAAAATTTACGCTGCACTATGTTATTATTTTCTTTATGCATTATTACATAAAGTTCATTGACCTCATCAAGCTCGGATGATTTGGAATCGCGCGGAAAAATCTCTGAACTGAAAATATTTTTCACGCGCGAGGTTTTATGTTTCCCGTTCAATCTGCATCTCCTGCACCTTTTCAATTTCTAAAAAAAATTGAATCCAATTTGAACAATTTTTTTCTCTTTTTTGATTTTTTTACTTTTTTTTTTTCATTATCTTGTGAAAAGAAGGTAGCTCCAGAGAAATAAAGTAAGTATTCTGGGAAGGACAGCAAGCTCACGAGTATCTTGGATTTTTTCCGTCAGCAAATTTAAGAATAAAGTCTTTAGGATTTCGCATTTGAGCGACAAGTGTTGAATTACCATCTTGATTCATTTTATTCACTTTCGCAATGTCATTTTAAATTCCTCATTTTGAGCTTTCCTATCATATCTCTCTTAATATTAATAAAGCATTATGGGAATATTACCATGGATTTTAGCATTGTTTATCTTCCCAGAGATAAATTAGTTTAATTTTTGCGCAAAAAATTGATTGATTCTTTTAAAAGCTTTTCACGTGCCAAATATTTTCACGATTTATTTTCGTCGTTGCGAGTTGAAAATAATGATATTTTTCGAGCATTAAAAGCAGTTTATCAAAGATACCCAATCATTGCGTAATCGCCACTGATTTTCAATCATAAATTAATTTAAAAGGTTATGAAACACTTTAGATTGCTTAATGAACGGTCGGAGGATATGAAAAATAATCTACAAATTAAAATGAATATTTTCGATAACTTTTTTAATATAAAGATGGAATTTTCGATAAAGGCATGCGCTAATCGAATTTGACCGATTGTACTGAATAATGATTCCGTAATTTCATAGGCTCGCTGCGGCCGACAGTTTAGGTGATTCGTTGGCAGCATGGTATTTGCTGATGCTGTTTCACAACATGGAAAACTAAGCCGCGAGATGCAGCAGCTGCTAATACTTGTCACTGTATTTCCAAAATGCATGAGAGTGAAACGTGGATACGCAACAGCCAATCGATAAAGTTACTCAAGAAGTATTAAAAATATTTAGTATATATTATTTAATATTATTTTTGTTTTTCACTAGAATATATAACTTTACATAACTTTCAATTCAATGTGGGTCAATGATTTTAATACACGTTTTGTGACAACTTTTAAATAAATTGATTTCGCTCTTACGTTACGTGAACTGATACATGAATAATTTATGCACAAATTAAATTATTTTGAATTTATTGTTATATTTACGGAGTATAGTTTTTATTATTTGGCATTCTTTTTTACATATTAAACATTTAATTGGCTTTATTGCGGGGGTGGCAATTATTAAAAAAAAGCTCAGGCGCTTTCACGCAAGTTTTATTAAAAATCCACTGCTTTTATTCAAAGGCTGTCTTTTCATCAGTGTAAGGACTTTCGAAATTCGAGCAAGGACAGAAAGGGATATTTGGGATTCAATTTGAAATATTTCAATAGACCCTGTCGTATCCTTTGATTAGACGAACCATTTGCCGAGAGACAGCAAGTGCCGAGCTGAATTGTATATTCGAGGCTTAATAATGCCTCGAAAACTAGCCAGCATTGAGATGCAGCTGGTATTTACGGTCGTAAATGTCAATCCAAAGAACCGTTATGTGAAATGGCTGCAAATATTGCTAGAATCACATCTAGTCGCAAAGGGCTGAACAATAGTAAACCCTCAGGAGGATTCTGGAAACAAAAAAAGTTGCACTTAAACGCCCGAAGTTTTTACATTCATTACGACTCTTTACTATTAAAACTGTTAAAAACATACAACATGAAAGACTCGTTGGACAAACGACTCTTGAGCAGCTGAAAAAGTTGTGTAATGCTCAGTTTTTTTATAATAAAAATAAATACAGATGACAATTGTTGAGCTTTGGAAAGTAACTAGTTTACTTTGCAAGCAATAACTCTGTTTTTAGCAAGATTGCTCGAATGGAGAAGCCATTCTTGAGGAAAGCTGAGAAACAATCGGGAAGCCATTTATGCTATGTAAATTGTAAATTAAGCCGAGTTTTGAAATTCGTGCGAAGTTCTCGAGCATTGATTTAAAATGGACTTTTTAGCGTGATAATGCATTCTTCTATAGCTATTTTGACCTCTTGACCATTTGATTTTAGCGAGCACTTTCATTGAAGCCTTCATATAAATGCGAGTGTAGGTGTGTGAGAGGGAGAGACGAGAGTGGGCAGCGTAGAGGCGTGAGAGCTAGAATAAAGCGAGGAGAAATTATGCATACTAATTGAGAAGGTAAAGGAAAAAGACGACAAATTGACTTTGCTGCTGCTGCGATGCAGTACGAAATATCAGCCGCGTGCGAAGTTGTTGCTGCTGCGCCGTTGTTTGTTTTACGGTGGCTGCTGTATGGATTTCGCGAGTGTTGCAGTCTCGAGTTCAGACACACGAGCCACATCACGTACGGGCTTGGCTTTGCACGCAATATTTATTGCACGAGACGCGCGCGGGCTAAACTTACATGAAAGAGAGGCAGAGAGAGAGAGAGAGAGAGAGAGACCGAGCGAGCTTTCGATTTTGCTCCTGTCAACGGACGCGAGCGTGAAATACTCGCGTCGCCGCCACACCGACTATACATGTAAATTCGATAAACTACTCGTGAAGTTATCTTGTACATCATACGCACATATATAAGTCTATGTAGACGTCATTTATGCAGCCGCGCTCTGACTACATTATTAGTTTGTATACGTATACACTATACATGTGCACTCGCAGGCGCCTGCCTCCGCACATATATATGCTCGAGTGTGACTCGCTCCGCGGCGCGCGTATACCTATACTGCTGCCTGTGCTCGCATGCATACGTACGGAAGAGGTGATGGCCGTCTACAGTCAAAGCTCAAAAAGTTCAAAGGAATCGTCGTCGCCTGCAGGACAATTTAATTTTAGCTCCAGCCCGGCTTGTATTCGAAAATCTTCTTTTAATTAATTTATGCAGCGGATTATTCCTTCCCTTTCATCGGCTCATCTACATTAATTTCGTGCAAATTTCATCATCCCGCTAGTTAGTTCGAATGCAATTCCCTGAATGCCTTGACGGCTGTTACACATTGTCATAGAGAGTTATTAAGATCAAAGTTGCACCGAGACAGTTTGTGCAAGCTCACGAGCGCACGCGTAGCGCGTCACTTTTTTTCTTTTTTCGCGACGAACTTGGCGCCGCTGTTATTGCTGCATTACTCGATTCAATTCAATTACAGCTGCGATGAGACGGAAAGAGAAGGACTCGTGGTCAAGTCACACACACGTCGAGTGGAAAATTAATTAACAACATTTACATGCACTGCCAAAGCATCAATTTTTAATGCTACATCGACACGTTTCACCTTTTCATTTTAATGGAATTTTATGACTGGACATTCCAGAAATATTATTGTTACTCGGTAAGCAGCTTGTCCGGCATAACAATCCAATGGAGCTTGGCAAAAGCTCCGAAGAATTCCAGCTTATATTTATACGTTTTATCTTTCTCTGTTTTTTACTCTTGGGGTCGGTGGATTGCATTTCGAGTGAGTCCTTTTTTTTAAATAACGCCGGACATTACTCTTTCCCGAAATCGGTTCTACGATCTTTTCAGACTTCATATATCTTAACGAGATAACGTAATTTCAAATGGCTTTAAATTTTCCTAAAATCGACCGTTTAAACATTCATTTACACTGTTAAGATCGAATAAAAAATTAGTGAAACTAGTATATTTACAGAATTAAAATAAATATTAATATAAACCATGGTTTATTGCTTTCATCAATAAAACTATTAGTTTGAAAAAATGTCGGTAATGTAAATTTCCTTGTATTTTATTTCAGATGTACAATAAATCATGGTCTCTCAACAGTAGTCTATTAAACTCGGAAAGCTTTGACGGCTACGAAGAGGAAGATGACGACCAGTACGTGCCGTACAACGAGCGGCCCGAAACTTACGTGGTGCCCATACTGTTCGTGCTGATTCTCATCGTCGGCGTCGTGGGCAATGGCGTGCTGGTCTTCACGCTGGTGCGCCATCCCAATATGCGAAACATCCCAAACACATATGTGCTATCGCTGGCTCTGGGAGATCTTTTGGTAAGGATTTTCAGGCAGATCGGCCTTGAGTAATCAGTAGCTCGGTGAATTAGTTTAATTAGTTCGGATGCTGCTGCAGCAGCATCGACGCCGCAAAGTTGCGGCCAACAAAAGAGTAAAGATCCACGAAGTTAGCTCTGTATATGAGTGAAAGCCCGCGGTGCAAGCTGCAGCAGTGCTATACTACGGCAGCTTTTGATGAGTTGGACAAAGAAAACAGAAGCGCTTCATTTAACTTTATTTTCGCGGAATCAAAGAAACCATTCTGTCTCTCGTGTGTTTAATTTTTATTGCGTAAGCTCGCGAGCTGAGCACGGATAGGGTATAAACTGCCGGCCGCGCCGTTCGGATGAAAGCGCGGCTAAAGTGCGACTTAGCCCCGGACGCTTGTCAATTAAAAATTAAATGGCTCGAACCGAAAACTGACCATTATACGAGATCGCTCGAACTTTCCAAGCATCTTGCATAATGTATCGCGCGGAAAGAGATCAACAAATCATAAAATTAACCGAGAGTGCAAACATTTATACGCCTTTTTATTCGTTCAGTGGCGCGCGATCGCAGTGCTCTGTCCAGCTTAAGTTAATACTCGTGTGTGCCTTTATGTATCTCGTACGAGCTCGGGTTTAGCATTACGTATGGCTTTGCATAAACGTTTATGTCTTTGCATGTGTACGCGTAATTTTGGTATGCGACATTGCTGTTGTGCTCGCTATGCCGGTGTGCATACAGCAAGCAAACTTGCCTTATCGCTCATATTAAAGCAAATAATTGGACGCTCTTTCGCTCGTCGACGGATCTATTATCTCTTTGCCTGTTTGTTTGTTTGCCCGTGGCAACAGGTGATCTGTACCTGCGTCCCGTTCACGTCGGTGCTTTACACTATCGAATCTTGGCCATGGGGTCTTGCCGTTTGCAAGCTATCCGAATTCGCCAAGGACATCTCCATCGGCGTTTCCGTTTTCACTTTAACGGCCCTGGCTGCGGAGAGGTGAGATTAAAAATACATATCGTGTTTTATTTTTCAATCTGAATCGTGCACAGATTATTGCCTTGGGAGGATTTTTGCGTATGGCTTTGTTTGTATCACGTGAAAATCGTCCGAATATACGGCCGATACGGAAGCCCTTACGGATGCTTTCTTGATTTCGCTTCATCGATAAAACCTTAAATTTTCATGAATATAAAGAAAAAATAACTGATAGTGATCGTGGAGATGTAATGTTGTTTGAAAGTGGGTCGTGTAAAATAATATAGACACGATATTTCAAGTTTCGTGCAGCATCAGAGTTTTTGCGTGTCGTGGAATTCATACATATTTTAAAATGCGTATTTTAGCGAAAAAAATGGAAATGACGGAACGAAAAGTAAAAGTGAGCTCCGCTTACTCCAAGCACTCTAGAATATTTCCTCGTTTTTATGATTTCAACTTTCGAGATATTGTAAGTACAGTTGTAAATTGTTTAAGACCGTGAAAAATTGCTGCGAACTTTTAAAAACTTCATCAAAGAATTGTTATGACTTATTCATTATTTAAATAATCCGAAAACGCGCGTGTACGCGAGTTATTCCTGTTCTTGTTAAGTAATATTCGCCCGCTCGTCGCGCGGAGATTTTCGCAAAAGTCCCGAGGCAGTAAAATGTATTTCATGAAAGCATTGGGATAAGCTTGTGGGAGGTAAGTGCAGCGCGTGGCATATATGCATGCGCGCGTACCTCGCCAGTTCACGATCGCACGCAGACAAGCAAGTATGCACATCAACAGCGGAGGAATGAAAAAAAAAGAGAAAGAAAAGCGGCAAAAAGAAAAAAGGAAAAACGATTTAATACGAGCTTACAGATACCACGCAATCGTGAATCCAATTCGACGCCACGTGGCAGGTTTATCGGCCAAACCGTTGACGATCCTGACGGTGACCTTAATCTGGCTGCTGGCCACGGTGCTCGCTCTGCCCGCGGCGCTTTTTTCTCATGTGCCAGTGGAAATCTTGAAGGGTAACCAAACCATCTCCATCTGCAGCCCTTTTCCCAATGAGTTTGGTGAGTATTAAACGAGCAAAGCACCGCAGCCAATACATAATACGAGTGTTTGTCCCTCTTCGCTCATTGTACACGTACGGCACTCGACATACACTAGACCTATATATCGACGCCACCATGCATATAAACAAGCCTCGAGCTATCTTACGAATGCTTATCAAGATGTATATAAGAGCTATATAACTGAAACGCGCTCGGCGGCCCCTATCTGTCACGATCTCGTCCCTTTTTCTTTTTTCTAGCTTTGAAACATTATTCCATTGATTACCAGCCATTTCCGTGCGTCGAAAAGCACTTTTTTCCCTCCGCTTTCTCTCTCTGCCTCATTCTTTTTCTCTAACATTTTCTGAATGAATGGCTCATCTCTGTTACCCTCGAATCCGACGCGTGAGCAACTACTGATGCTCGGATTCTAACACGACGACTTTTATTAAAAATTCTTAAAATTCGGAGTGTGCCGTCAGAACTTACGCAAGGTACAAATATTTACAAGCACGTGCTACGGCGCCCGATGACGATGAAAAAACTCATTGACATTTAATAAAATGCGCATTTTTAGAAGCTTTTCCCTTTCCTTGTATCATAATCAACTCTTATTTCATTTTCAAGCTTATAGTCTTACTTTATACAGTAGTTCTTAAAGAATTTTTCCAGTACTCATGTTTTATTCATTCTTTAGCCGTAAGGTAATAGCAATCATTGCATACCATTCATTTAAATCATTAATAATTATTTAAAACAAGTTAACTCTTGAGTAGACAAACATATTTATTTATTTCAGGTGAAAGTTATGAAAAAGGAATGGTGCTTTTCAAATTTTTGGCTTATTACGCCTTGCCACTCTGCATTATATCGGGATTCTACTGTGGTATGGCTCGTCACCTGGAACTCTCCACAAGAAACATGCCAGGAGAGCAACCCGGAGTACCGCATCAGTGCGAGCAAATACGAGCTCGAAAAAAGGTCGAGTTGAGGCAAAGCACCTCCTACAAACATATACATGTATTCTTCAATCCCTATCATCAAGGCGCATTTTATCACTGCTCATAATAAAATTGCTTTTTAAAAGACCCTACAAAGCTCCTTAAGTTCTCGCGCTTCTCTACACAAGCTTTTATTGTATTACACTTCTTAACTTATTTCACTTTTTTCGCTATTTTTGACTTTTATGCTTATTTTACCATCTCCTTCAATAAATCTAAACTATCAATCGAAAAACCGAAAAAAATAATGTCAACGTTATTGATTTTAGGTCGGAAAAGTGGTTATAGCTTTTGTGATAATCTTCTTCGTCTGTTTTCTACCCTACCATGTATTTATGCTGTGGTTTCACTTTTATCCATGGTCTCGAGAAGTTTACGACGAATTCTGGCATGCCTTTCGTATAATTGGCTTCTGCCTGAGTTTCATTAATAGCTGCGTCAATCCAATCGCATTATACTGCGTTAGTGGAACATTTAGAAAAAGGCGAGTACTTTGAACATTGATAGCATTTGATCATTTTATTGAATAAGGCTCATTCAATCTTTTAATAAGGTCATTTATCTTGTTATAAAATTGGAATCCCTAATACCTTAACTCGATACAAATTCTGATATTATTGAAATTGATCTAAATTACATACAAAATATCGATCCAGGGTATTGGTTCTTCAATTAGAAGTTATCTTTAAATTTACATCGATAATGAGATGTATGTTAAAAATAAAATGAGCTGAACAATTTGTTTAATTTATCCTTATAAAATAATTAGACTTTTATACGATAGATTTTTAATAGTATCTGAGGTTCCGTTGGCTCCCAAACAAGAAAATAATGAAGTTATATTAAAGCGGTCAAAGCTTGCTCCTATAAAGAAAATTAAAATTTGAATATTAATGAAAACATCTAATAATCTACTAGGATTTCTAGATAATTATTGTGAAATTAAATAAGATCATAAGATATTATTTACAATAACAAACGATCATCGTTCTTTCCATTTTTTCCTCATTTACCACGAATGAATGATAGTTAAAACTTTTTGTTAAATGCATCCCTAACCGATTAACGAACGAGCGTCCCCATTTTCTTGACAACTTTCAACGAAATTTTTCTTCCTTCCAAAGGATAATATTGTTTACATATTTTTAAACTCGATTGAAGTGATGAAAAAGTTATATTTGTGTTAGGGTGGGGATGTGTGTAAGTGCATGTAAGCATGTGGGTAGCATCATCTCGAAACAAATTTATTAAGTCATATCAAAATAAATTGCTCATGAATACAAATGAATATAAAAAAAAAAAATTTTCGTTAAAATTTCTTATTCTTGTGTTTCGGTAACTTGAATCTTGAAATTTAATGTAGAAAATTTGAAAATTGATATTTTGATTTCCATTAAAATAATTCTTTTATACTAAGCATTTATCTCTCATAGCTTCGTGTATGTGTAAAAAAATTCTCCAAAAATATTGTATTAACTATATGCATTTTTTCCTTACTATATCTAGATTTAATCAATACTTATGTTGCTGTCTACCAAGTGTAAAGAGGACAGCCAATGCTCAGGGAAGATTTCCAAGAACCAGAGGAGAGGCAAGTACATTTTACGAAACTAGCTTCAATTCGACATATCGAAGACACACGCAAGAGCTAAATTCTAGTACTCTACTGAATTTCTCCGTTGAAAGTAAGATTGTGTGAGACAGGCTGTTCTAGTCGTTCGTGCAAAATTATATAAATTTCATTTAAGGCTTGACATTTAAAATAGATTCAAAACTAATAATTTAAGAGTATAAATGTCTAGGACTATACTTACTTTCACATTCTCGAAATTCTTCACAACTCAATACAGCATGTGAATATATTTCTAATAATTTTTAAACAAATAATTCAGCGAATGATAATGCATAATTTTTTAAGCAACATACGATTTATAGAATATCTAAATATATGATGTAGTTTTATTTTATATTATGAATGAATTTACGAAAATGATTTTTATAATTGATCAAAAAATTTACTCAAGAATATCATAAATATGAAAAATATAAGGATTAAATAAATGAAATATATATTTTTTGACCAAGGATCAGAAAGTTACTGATTTAAAGATGTTACCGAAGTCAAAGAAAAGGTGAACATTTTTTAACACGATTATTTCAATTTCAATCAAATTACACTCTAAAAAGTTTTTTTAAAACGTATCATATCTTTGGCGCTATTACTGTACTGCCAAACATGGGATGCAATAAGTTAATAGAATATGTGAGAATAATTTCAAGCGTAATCTATAAATAATTTTTGAAAAATATATACATTTCGAGTGACCTCGACATTTTCTTATTGTAAATAATCCATTCAAAGTGATAAATTAGTTACGTACTATAGACTCAATAAATTATTTTATTTTATGGATTAATAGAGTTTTATGTTGTACAAAAATAATAATTTTACAATACATAGGAAATAGTATAAAAAACATTAAATTATCAATTAGTACACTAAATAAACTATAATAAAGTAAATGATTGTTGTCAGTATTATTTGGTTACAGATTTTGATGTTACTATTAAAGTTTTTTCAAAATTTCATGGATGCCTTGAGAATAACAACATAAAATGTATCCACGTAACTCTATATAAAAATATTTATTAGATACCCCGGAAACTATGTTTCAGAATTTTAAGTTTTATTCCCCGTCATTGTAAATACAAGTTGATATAGCAGAATATTATAGTAAAATGTTAGTGTGTGAAATGTGCACAGTAATAAATTAACAAAAGTATATTATTCAACGTTACAGATTTTTTCAAATCGTTTGTTATTGTTGGAATCTACCATTAATTTTTTTAAACAAATTTGTATATTTCTATAGTGTTTAAAACAAAACAGATGGATGAATATCGTATTTGTTATAAATATTTATCTTTGCCTGTTCTAATTTTATTATTTATCCATAAGTGTTCTGATTTCTCAAAAATTTTGTCAAGAATACTATGTTGAGCATTGAAGAATGTAAATTATTTTACGTGGGTATTCAGAATGTAAATTTTTAAATTCTGTATGAGATAACTCGAATAGAATCAATCATTAGCTTCATCATTAAATGTTACGCATCATGCAATACCTGTAAAAATATACATTTTTATTCTGTAACATTCGAAGTATATTTCAAATTATTTGAATAAAATGAAAATGTGAAAAATATCATAATAATTGCATTCTTTCTTGCCATCAATAATCACTATTTTTCATGTAGTTTAGTTGGCCCCCAAATAATTATTTAAATTGAATTTTACTTTCATCATTTTAAACTTTTTGCTATCAAGATAATTTTAAAACATATTTTTATGCAAACTTTCTCCAATTCTAAATAATAATTTTACCAATTGAATACTAAGAGACCTAAAATTAAGATTTGCAGAAAAACATTTTGTCCCACTTAAAACATTTGAATATTTTTCCTTCTGATTTCTTCTGAAGTATTTTTTCAAGTTTTCCTTGAACATTTCTTTGGGACGGAGACAAGAAAAAAAAATAAAATAAAAAAAGTAATGGATGAAGTACAGTTAAAATTGAATATTAGGTTTTCAGGGGTAACAATTTATCGTTTACGCTGCTCCAGCGTAGCGAGGCATAACTTTAAACTCAAAAGAAAAAGTTTACCTCAGCCTTATGTTAACTACATAGGATCAAAGGGCGTTTTTGCTTCTGAGCTTAAGACAATACCTTTCTGTACTATGGTGACGATTTTATGTTGAATAACAAAAAATTACTTTAAAACAGATGTAGGAAAATAACTACTTAAAGGGCTTTGAAAAAGGCTCTTTAAAAATCTCGATATTTATGCAAAAATCAAAGTCATTGTTGATATGGTAAACAAAATTAGATTTTAGTAATGTGTTAAATGAATAATTTTATTTACGCATGAAATTAATTTAATCTTGAAGACGAAAGTTTCCAAGTTTACTTAGCTCAGAGCTTATTCGCCTTTGTCGTCTAATATTTGAAAAATCGAAAGCATTCTTTAATATCGATCAAAATTTTCAAGTAATTAAATTTTAATACATTTAACAATCAGTTATTGACTTTAATGTTAATTACTTTCATTTTATTCATGTGACATTAAATGATCGATCATACATTATGGTCAATCAAATGAGGAATTATAATTATTATTTAATACGATAGAATCTCATTAACACGATTATGAACCTTTGTAAGATGAATTTTTCTATAAAACGAAGACACATGTTTTAAGAGATATTTTGTTTTTACGTTGTACTGCAAATTCAAATAATGAAATTGTACTAGAACTGTTTAAAAAGAATACTTATTTCAATTTTATTTGAATATTTTAAGTCCAAATACGAATATTAATAATATAAAAACCATTAATAAAATAAGTAATTTAAAGCAATCAAATTTATTTAAAATATAAATTTCTACCCATCGATCATAATGATTACAGTAATATAAATTCAATGCAATATATCCAAAAGAGTTTACATGATGAATCATTTTAATTTAAAATATTTAATAAACTAAGAAATTGTTTAATTTTAAACTTAAGTATAATAGTTAGAGACAATGAAATCACATGGACGTGAAGCGTACATACCGACTGTACTCATATGTACCTGTTTTAGCGTTCATATTTGTAACATAAATCGACCTGTTGGTATATCGATAAAAATACGTGTAAAAATAACTTATTTCCGTTATTAAAACTTTCTGCAGCTGAAAGACGTAGGCATTTGTTAGGCATGAAAGCAGTCTGCAAATGTGGAATACAAGAAAAACGAAGATGGATAGAGGCCCGGTGTGCAGAACCGCGTCATGACGAAACCGAAACAAGGCGGCTGCTGCTTCTGGCCAGGCGTGAGTGGCAGATGTTCGGCGGATTCTGATAATCTTGTATATATATACCTACGCGTACAGATGCTTGAATAAAACCGAGTATACGAAGAGGAGGAGGATATAATAATGTAAACACCGAGTCTTTCATTCTTTTAATTTTTAATACAAATATTACATTGCGATCCTCGGCAAGTAGCATATTTTAATCATTGCTTTATTTTGCTATTGTCCTTGAAATAAAAATAAAAAGAGGCCACACGTTAGAAATGCGCAAGGATCGAGCCTCGTGCCTCGCAAAGGACTCCGAAGTCGCGTGCGTGCAAGCAAACGAGCAGTTGTAATACGCAAACATATACCTAAGTAAGCATTATGAGTCCTGAAAGTTTAGTTTGGAGCATTTTGTGTGCGTGCGTGCCTGCGTGTGTGTGTGTGTAAGAGCGCGAAGAACAGCAGCAGCCGTCGCCGCAGTCGTCCGCAGGCACCGGCACGCTTTCTAGATATAGAGAGAATACGTGCAGCTGCTCCGGCCCAGAGGTGGGGACCGCAGCCACGCGACGGGCATACGCCGCGTAAAAGTAACAGCACCCCCGGTAGTACAATCTTTGCCACATAAACCGGCTGTCTACGGTCCTTCCTACCGAGGCTCCTTATTTTGCCTTTTTTTTTACTTGCTATTACCTGAAACTCGCTTATTTTGCTAATCTCCGAGTGCGATAGCGTAGAGAAATTTGACTACTGCATCGAACAGTGCGCGAGTGTCATCGGATTGTGTTGTGCTGTTTTTTTCAGAGTCATTTATGCCCTTTCAAAGGGGTGGATTGCCAGTCGGCTGACGACCTGGTAAGTTTACATTATTCTATTATTTTGTACCTTTCAAAATATTTTAACGCGAACTCGGCAGATAAACAGGCTTCGAGTAGATATTAATTTATGATATAATCAACGATCGTAACTGCTTTATAAACTCACAATATATATTTGAAAATAAATATACAATTATTAAACATGAATTGTAATAATCATGAAAACGAGCAATCGTTCATCTACTGGAAGCCCGTCCATTTATTGGGTTAGTAGTCACCCTATGCTCGAAAAATCAACGCGCAATTTACGCGTGAATTCAATCGATAAAGCTGGCAAAACGTCGTGAAAAAAGCGGATAACTCATTGCAGGAAAACAAGAGCAATAATTTATCCGCTGCAAGGGCCTGCTTCAATTAGCTTTGAGTATTGTCGAGGCAATATATCGATACACAAAATATTCGAGGCATCCCTGTCAACAAAAAAAAAAAAAAACGAAAAAAAACGTAAACAGATAAAAGTTATCAAATGAAAGCTATCGCTGCCGAGTGGCTCGATAAATTCATATAGTAGAGCTTCCTGACGCGCGAATCGAAACTCGCGATATTTGAGGAAAAGAGAGGAAGAGTATACGATCCGGATTCGTACGTGCGTTTCAATGTATGCATTTATATATATAAATTTAGGTACACTCGTGCGCGTGCATGCATACTGAACAGAGAATACAAGCGTTTGCGTGGTTTCGCCGCGTTTTCCTCTAAAATCGACCGCATCGATGGAAATTCAATTTGATTTTAAACTTTCCACCTGATACACGCTTGGCTTTTCGAAAGCGCTGAGGGCTGAAATTCTAGAAGCCGCAAATTGTATAAAATATACTATAAGAGTTTAGTAACATTGCCGCCTATTATTTGTTGTAGCACTCTATCGGGACGAGGCGACTGGTGACAATTCGCGACGATGAAGAGGTCGTTGTCGGTAAGTTCAATGGCACGTTTAATATCAATTAAATATGCATCATATTTTCACCGTCTCTTTTGCCTCGGGACATTTTGCTTCAATTCTATTTGAATTTTACAGGGCTTAGATCTACAAACTAATGATTCTAAAAGACCGAAAGCAATCGAAAATGACGAAAATTCACCGGTACGTCTTGTAATTGTTAACCCATGTCATCTTCAACAATTCATATTAATTTATAACATTTTCAATATTTTTTAGAATATAAATCATTTTGATTACTGTCTTCTGGCTTTAGAGCGTATAGAAGAATTACAAAAGCAAATTTACGATGACTATGATTCTGACGATGATTTAGGTAATTTATAATTCTTCGTGAATAATTTGGGAAAATCTTTAAAGAATATTATTTTAATCTTGACATTAAAATTTGATATTTTTGCACCCTGTTTTCTAACAGAAAACTTTGACGACGACGACGACGACGACGAAGATGTAACAAAGGAAGTTTTAACGGAGGTGTTCGGTGACCTGCCCGGTAACTCGAAAAATCCACTGACAACTTTAATGGGTTCAACTTCAAAATTTGATCCGCCAAAAGAATTCAAACCCGGAGAACTGTTAGGCTTCGAATATTGTCGAATCGTTACTGCAAACTTTTTGAAAAATATCGACAGTCCAATTTTTGACGATTCAGGCCCCTCTCATCTGGATCCAAAGGTAAATTTTAGAACATCTAAACAATTAACAATAATGTAATGTGCATGAACTTTTGAAGTAAAAAAAATAATTTTAACTACCTTAGGATAAATACGACGGTGAAGTTGTGGATTTTGATGCGAGAGCACAGACTATACGAGCTCTCGACCTGCACCTGGCAATCAAACAGAGAGACTACGCGGCTCACCTTATGGCTGAATAAGTAACCGTTCCGTGTAACATTACACTACCTTCAACTGTCCGTATTTAACATCGAAAAATTTCAGCTGTATTCGAGTAACTTTCATTCTAGTCAATTAAAGGGGCGTTCACTGTTTAGTGAATTATGCGTATAAAATCTCAGGTAAACATTTTAGTTTACATTTTCTCGTCCGTGTTATTTAATTAAAAACTGTTAAATAAACAGATAATCGTATTTGAATTCTTCATGCAAATTTTCTGTGTGATCATAGCTAAACAAGCTAATTGATAATTGAGTGTAAATTTCATACTTTTTTTTATAAATAAAAAAAGCATTTCCTTTAAAATTCCAAAAAGTATTTTCCAAAGTGATAAAAAACTTTGTTGTAATAAAAAAGTAATATTCGTTTGTAAAATCATTTTACCAGTTTACCTGAGACTTTAACTGATGTATTGCATTTAACATTTATGATCATAGCCTTTGCCAAATAATCGAATAACATTATTTTTGTGTAATGCAATATATTTGTTATCAAAATACCAAACTTGAAAAATGCAAAAGTCACGTGTTTGCTTTTTGGCGCAGGTGGATGGAGTCTCTAGTCATTAATCATAATTATATTAGTGCGATTATAATAATCGTTATTATTATTATTATTATTCATTATTATTATTAATCATTTTCAAGTAATTTTAATGATATCTCAAAGAATAAAATAAAGTATTGACAAATTCCAGTATGAATTGAATATCTGAATTTAAATATCTACTAATAATTTGAACCAATTGTTTCATAATACAAAGTGGTATAAAATAATTTGATGATTTAATTGATTTTTTGTAATAAGCATTAGTTTATGTTTCAATAATTTTAAGTATTCACACGGATTTTGAAAAATTGTTATTAGTATTACACATGTATTATACATTTAAATAATAATAAATGAAAAAATAGTTGTAGTACTTTCAATTAAAATTCATAATTTAATTTCTATGAGGGTAAAATATAGACTAATTTTTAATCATTTTTTAATGTACTTTTTAATATTTATCAAACACACTTAAATAAAATAAAGTTAAATTATAATATTACGGTAATTGAAAGATTGATAAAATTTTGATACTTATTCGTTTATCTAATCTATTACTTGATAAGCATATAGAAAACAAACAAAAAATTTAGTAAAATCAATCAAAATTATTAATAGTAATTAATTGATCTATTTTATCACAAAGATGACAATACGTCCACTATATGCTCTATAATTATACATTAAAAATAAATTTAAGAAATTCTATAAAATAAGGAAATCATTCGAGAAATTTATATTCCAAAAATTAAATTAAATTTTAAGATTTTATTAGGATAAATAATTTTGTAAATTTGTTAGGAATAGTCAAAGGTAAAGAATAAATTGTACATAATAAAATTTTATAAAAAAATATCTATTGGTAATTTCATAATAAAAAATTCACATTATGACTATGTAACTTAATTATACATTTTCCGTTCAACGATACAACTCAAGTCATCAACAAGTATGTTATCCTTGACAAATAAAAAATCAATCTTGTCAGTTACATTATTCATTCACTTTTCTTCTTTGCACGAATAAGTATGTGTGATAGTCACGTAAAAGTGAGTATCAATGCTTTCTTCAACAGTAGAATTATTATAAATAAAATAATGATGTCCTATAAAAAATATGACATAATAATAAAAAAAATTTATAGAAGTTTTGCAACTCATAAGATGCCTACTTTTCTTAACTTTTCTATATTTTTAATCTTAATAAAAAAATATTTATTTAAGGTAGCCTTTAACTACTCACAAGATTCGTTTGGCTTTAACAATTATGCGTGTTTATGCTGTACTAAAAATAAAATATGATTCTTATATTCGATTATAAACACTACAAACTTGAATACTCTTTAATAACAGTTACTCATTCATATAAACAAATTGTAGCGATTACAAACGCTACAAATTTGAATACTTTTTAATACCAGGTACTCAGTTATACAAATAAATACAAGTTACGCACTAAATTAGATTTTGAGCGCTTATGTTTACAAACATATGAAAGATTTTTTTGTTTTACTACGGTCAAATATATTAAAGTTTTCATCATTCCGTTGCATTTTAAGTTCTTTTAAAATTTGAGAAAATTTTTAGAAACCGCGTCTATCTGATAAATACGATTAGTTGAACTCTCAATTTGTAGAACTTGTTCATAATTTGGCGAAAAAATAACGATCTAATATACATTGTATTAATTTTGTTCTACAAAGCTCTTCCATCAATGTATACTAGAAATTGCTTATAATTTAGTTATCCGTATTATGAATTTCGTTGGATTAAGAATCAATCCTATTTTCAGTGATGTTTGTCAAAACTTGCTACATAATTTTTTTTAACAATTTTCTAAAATTACGTACAATTTGTATTCATGTTTATAATGTCCTTAGCCTAAAGTTAACAATACGAGTTGTTTTTGAAATGTTGTCTCGATTGTATGTAATACAACACGATTGCATCACAATTGAACGCATAGTTAAAACTTTGAAAAATAATCGAGGCTCGCGGTTAAGGTTTCCCATCTAGCGTTAATTCCATTAAAAGATCGGCAGAGCCAACAATTATTATATAAACTTGTAATATCTATAGATAGTTTGAAAATATTTCAACAATTGTTTACACGAATAGACTATTTACAATTGAGCATTGATTGAATAATTTTTTTCTCGGAGGGTTTCACGCTTCGAGGCTGTTTTGAAATTTAGCATTCGGGGAAAAAAAAACTCGAGAGAATTCCTAGACCCGTTGGTTTGAAAGTTTTAAGTAAAAGTCGAGAAAAACTTTTTAACGGAAAAGAGAAGAGCCAGAAGGCAAAAGCAAATGATTGATAAATGTCGATCGCAAGAAGGCCGTCAGGTTTGGCAAGTCGTTACTTTTGAGCGAGTCAGAATAAAAATAGAGAAAGTACAAGTTGGACTCGAGGGTAATTGAGGCACAAGGCAAGGAGGAAGAAAGAGAAGAAAAAATCATCGGGTCTCGGAAGCGGAGAGCCGGGCTGGCGTGTCCTCCTCCTGCACTCAGTGCTGCTGGACGAGAGTCGGGCCGGAGCCGGGATTGCGCCAGGGATCGGGAATGTCGTAGTGTGCCGGCACAGTGATGAGCGCGTCGGCGGCGGTGCGCGTGGCGCTGCAGTTCTGCGGCTTCTGGCGCATCGTGTTGACGCACTCGATGCCCATCTTGATGAACTCGAGCTTGTAGCCGAAGCCCTGACTGCTCAGCCGGATGATGGTGTGCAGGGGCACCTCCTCGTAGGGCAGCTCCTCGGGCAGCTTGTCGCAGAAGTAGCCGATTATGCAGCGCAGTATGGCCTGGTGCGAGATCACGAGGACGTTGCTCGACTGCTGCAGCTCCACGAGCACCGGCTCGACGCGTTTCATCGTGTCGACGTAGCTCTCGCCCCACGGGTATCGGTAGCGAAGCTTGTCCTGGTCGCGCCACGCGAACTCCTGAAACGAAAGTCGTAAACCGATCGTCAGTGCTTTTCCCATCTATCACTTTTAAGTATCCACTGATCGGTACTAATTGCACATCGATATAGCACGAACATTTTCATGGATCCGCATCGAATTAATTGTAGTCGCGATAAATTTACTTTGTGCGTGTTAAATTTTCGTTCATTTGGATATACACACCTGTGGATACTTTTCTTGCATCTCCTCGTAGGACAGGCCCTCGCAGACGCCGGCGTAGAGCTCGTTGAGGGCGGCCACGTGCTCCTGGGAGGCCTCGATGCCGCGAGCCGTGGCGATGGTTCGACGCAGTCGGCTGGTCAGAACTCGCAGATCCGGTATGTGCATCGAGTTGATCTTACTGGCCAAGGCCTGGGCGTAGCGTTCGCCACGGGCGCTCAGTACGGCGTCTCCGCCGATCTTGCCCAGCACATTGAACTCGCTCTCTCCGTGCTGCTCGCAACAAACAACAAGAACCAAACGTTTAACACCTGAGTAGTGTCTTTTTATATTTTTGGATTCGCATAAAAAAATTTGACAACTCGCGCATCACGAGTTACGAATTGAATGAGCGATTGAAGCCGACAAGATAAATCCTATAGATTTTCTCGTTGGCAAATGTAGCTTGAAAAGTCTAGTCCAATGGGATTAGCATAAAAAATGAACGACGTTCCGCGTTGAAGGTTTTCGTGCTCGCAAATATATTTATGCGCTTGTAAGAGCATCGGCCCCAAGAAGACATCCCACTGCAAATGATCCACCGTCGACCATTTACAAAAACGAGTGTAGCGTGCAACGCGCTGTACTCGTGCTCTGGCCTTTACATAGCGGCACGAAGAAAAATGCCGCGAGCTTTCGATTCGATAAATCGCTCGCCCGAGCTGTATAGTCGAGTAGAGCTGACTCGAGGCGTCATTTTTCCAAACGCAAGAGAGAGAGAGAGAGAAATGATAACGAAGCTGCACTCGAGCGAGGTAATAGCTTATAATATAGTACAAGCTCTACATTACGCCTTGCCACTGACGTGCGTTACTTATTACGTGCTCTGTATATCATAAATGAAATCTTGGATTTACATCCGAGCGAGCATTTTTTATTCACATGCATTTATTTTTATATTTACAGTCATGATGCGTATAAGTCACAAGTTTCTTTCATTATGCTTACAGTTCATATGACTCAATCTTAATCGTTTTATCAAATTGAAAATAAACATTTACGACGTTGTTCAAAAATTTTGTTCAAAAACGATCTATCAAATGTCATCAAAATGTGTATAATAATAATGTTTTATTTAAAAACCGTAAAAGTAATTACAATGCATAAATTACAAAGATAATTAACTTTTGAAGAGATCCTATAAATAATATATGATATAACGAGTTTGACGTGATAAAATTGGATGATTAAAAGAGTCGGCATTTAAGTAGTCTTTTAATTAGCACAATTAATGGAAAAAATAAAAAGTAAATAAAAGGCCTGATAAATGAAAATAGACTCTGTATTTGCGACAGCTGTATTTGCCATTTCATATTTACTTTTCAAAGCGAGGCGTGACGTCAATTCTCGATATCGAGCATCTTACGTTTAACGACGTCGTATAGCGTGTATAGGACTTTGAGGGAGAGGCTCTCGACTTACCCTGGAGAAGTAGAGGGTGTGCGGTTTGAGCGAGAGTCCACCGAGGTAGCCGAGTACGGTGGTCTCGATGTGGCCCGAGAGCTTGATGGCGCTCATCTCCATGCTGGCCGTGTCGAGGCGTATGCGCGGATAGTACGGCTCGTCCATGGGCTGGTGCAGCTGGCGATAGTAGGCGATCTTGAGGCGCAGCTCCTCCAGGCCCACGGCCACCTGGACGTTCTTGTAGTCCTGGCTGTAGCGCAGGATTTCCCGGCAGTTGGCCTCGATCAGCGCCTCGTCCTCGCAGACGCACTCGACGAACAGCACGCGGTAGTGCAACTGTCCCGAGAAGTATTCGTAGACCTCGGCGCGCTGCTTTCGCGTGACCAGGGCCGCGTCCAAAATCTTTACCCGAAATATCGAAAATTAATCGTTATTATGAAGCATAAATGAGCAGAATTGAGCCCGATCGGGAACGAGCTATTCGCAGTTGGACAGAATTTACAGAGTCCGAATTGTCGTTTGCAGTATTGACACGCGCGCGATATTTGATCGTTGACATATCATTTGAAAAGGCTGTTCAATACTTGTTATTTGTTTATCGACAGAGGCCGCTTAAATTTGCGATTGCTTCACCAGCTTGCAAATGACCATCTATATAAACGTCTATACGATAGATATAACTAAATGCATACCGCGAACAGGCTGCCAATTATTTGCAAGCCTTCATATTCGTTTACATGTATCTTTATATCTATATCTTTTCACGAAACCTCGAGAGATGGTCAAAACAAAGAACTGAACTTTATATTTTTTCTGGCGTGACATTAATTGCAGCGTCGAACGCAAATGATATATTGAAAAAACGCGATGCCCAAGTTGAGTTATTTTTAGAACAAGTAGATTTTTCGATACGTACAGCGATGGTATTTCCAGCGGCGAGCCATGAGGCGCAGTCTTGCATCGCGTCTTGCTGAGCAAGATCGAGTAGAGCCGATGAGGCTTCGTGATCCGGGCGAAAAATTCCATTGGATATGTACGGTTCCTGCCGTTTTCTCCGGTAGTCGCTGACACGCATCACTGCAACAACAAGTTGAAAGCTCGCTTCAGTATGTGTGCCGGATATATATATGCACCGAAAAGCTGCCGCGTCTAAATAGCACATGGCTAGGCAATGGACGCGGCTAGGCGCATTAAAATAGATTGAATCTGCATTAGGGGCAAATCAATTCTCTCGGTGAGGTCAATAAACGTGGCTCGGTCGTGAATGGCTGTATATATACTCGCCACCGCCGACCATTAGTTTAGCTCGTCAAAACCCGTCTCGCAGCTTGTTTATCGGAAATTCGTCGCGCGCGTGAATGCCACCGAGTTATCAAAACGCAGCTTTTATCGATTTGTGTAGAATACCCGAAAAATATGCGAATATAGTTGAATTGTTGCATACAGGTTCGATTGAAATTCTGCTCGTATGCGCGAAGCCAGCCGCGTAAAATTGATTGTGCGAGTTACGGACTGTGAAAGTGTCACGCGATCGTGTTGACTATTGCTTTTGATATACCCACATATAGCTGCGCGACCGAAACCGAATCAATTGAGCTTATACCTATCGCGATACAGTCACCTCACAAAAGCTTACATGTATATTTTTATTCATTTCTATATGAATTCGGTATATGGAATAATTCAATCGGTGGTCAAAAAATGAAAGAAAGAATCAAAAAACGCTTACCTTTGGCAGATTCGCCATTCCAGTTGAGTCTTCGTCGAAGACAATGAGCTACTTGGCTTTTTCCTGTGGCGGGCAAGCCTGTAGTGACGATGACGACCCCGGCGAACTTGCGTGGGGGCTTGGACACTCCCGACACGACGGGGCTCCTCACGGACTTATCTTGCGAAGCTTCTGCAAAACGATAAATCATTGTAATGTTGATGTTGATGTTGGCTTCTTTATAAACAATGCCAAATATTATTATTTTAAACTCGGCGCTCCAGCGGCAGATTTTATATTGCGAATGAATATATAATACGCATCATGCTGTGCTTTTACATTTTTACGACTGCAAGCGAATACGTTAGGGAGATAGAGAGAGAGACTTGAAATTGCGAAAATTATGAGCGCATCTAAAGTTTCTTCTCTCGCTCACTGCCGCAATAGGCTACTTTGCATCTGCGAATATACTACGACTCTCCTGACTCCTCTTTGCGACATTTGCACCTCTCATTCTAGTTCTCAAGACTTTATTTGGACTCTCGGGCTACCTCGTGATGCATTTCGCCCATTCGAGACTTCTTTTTATTATCATTATAACTCGACCGTAAGGGTCAAAAACTTCGCAATGGATTTTTACGTGCTTTTATATACGCTTTCGCGGCAATGAATCGGGCAGGGGCTTGACAAAAAAAAGGGGTATTAATCAAATTGAGTGAATCTTAATGCCCTTTGACAAAGTTTTAGCGAGCTGCAACAGCTTGTGCGCATATAATAGTGCAAAATTTCTAACGATGCTGCGTTTCGTACTTATGTCATCATTTAGTTTCGTTACCTCGCAAATAGAAATGATCTCTTTATTTTGTGAGAACGAGTATAAGCTCTGTTTTTATGCTAAATATATACCTTTAACAATATCTCTCGGCTGTCGACTCTTTGCATTTAAATATAATGTCAAATCAACATCGCATTACGCTCGATGCGGATCAGTTGTAAGTTATGAAAATAAATGAATCACGGGAAGCTTCATAAACTTTTGTTTGACGCATGGTAAATATAACTGTTGGAGAATAATCATCATTTAAAATATTGAACTACTCAATTTTGCAACTGTCACTAAAGTGACTCTTCGTATCTCTCAAGAAGGATTGCGAATATCCAAAAACTTCAGTTTGACTTAAGGCCAAGTGCAGATTTACGCCTCAAAAATAGCAGCGCATTTGGCTGTAATCGTCGCGGCACTTAGTTATACTGTCGCTTCGTGAATGATCTCGCACTCAACAAAGACATAAAAAAGCTTTGTAAATAATAATTTATGTCTCACTTCAATTTTTATCAAAAGGTGTCAAATAAATCAATTTGATAATGTGAAAGAAAATAAAATAGAAGTAAATAAAAGCAATAGTAAAAAATTGCATACAACGCCTAATGTAACTTGAACAATGTAAAACGAATAAGAAACGTCATTTTATTTCACTTGAAACTTTTACAATTTTTGTGAATTTGAAAGAGTCGTCGTCAGCAATTTTGTACGTAATGTGAAAATCAATATGAACTACTTGCACGTGATTAACACGCAATGACCGCTTGACTCGCAAAAAAAGCGATAGTTTGATCGCGCAAAGCTCACATACACGTGAATGCTTGGTAAATCGGCAACGACATACTTCTTCAAAAAGAAATCTCCAACTATTTCGAAATATTACGTCAGAGCCGAGTATTATCAATCCGTTAATACATGATCTAATACAGTCGGTGACATTTCAATTGATGTAACAAAAAAAAAAACGAGAAAATCTCTTACCGATGTGACACATGTCGAGGATCGAATTGTTCCCAACGATTGCCTGTCTCGTGAGATAATCACGAAGCAAAATGCAAATGAGTTGTCGTTGCTGTTGCTGTAATTCCTCTTGCTGCGCCGTAATTACCGACGCGATATAACGCGGGTCACTCGAGAAAATTCAAAAGAACTCCTTGGAAAATCTCAGATGCGCTACGTGAACATATAAGAGCCTTGATGGGTCACTTTTTGTCGCTGACCGATACATGTATAATACGTGTGAGCTGTGGGTAGATGTAAAAATTGGCACTATACAGTCTGATGAGTGCGATAGTTAATCGCTAACTGAAGCGACGCGTGCGCCTCTCTATGACCTTATATTTAGACCGCTGCGATGCGTACATCGCACGTAATGCAAGCCGTACAAGTATTTGCGAACTCGGACGCGATCGTCGTGCTAGTCGCACTGACTTATAGACGAGGAGTGCAGCAGCAGCAGCAGTAGCAGATATTCTGCACCTCTGTTTACTCGTGTACCCGAGAGACTCGAGGATAACAACAATTTCAGACTTGTTCGGAAGCAACGTCACTAGAGTTGAAAAAACAAAAACACCTCTCGGCTCGGAAACTCGCTTTCGAGCTTGAGCAGCGGAGTAATCGATGAAACAGATTAAATGCCAAGCTCGAGTACCACTGCTCGAAGTCTACGATGTGCACCATTTTTTATAGATTCGACTAGGCTATTAATAACAATTTTTTATACCAAGCTCATCATTAATTTGCTTTACTTTTATTATATTATTTCATGGATATTCAAGCGGGAAAAATAATTTCTATTTTTAAAATCTTCAAATACACATGAAATGAATTAGTCACCTCGTAAGCACATTACTTTGTAAACTCTCACTTGGAAAGAGACACAAATTAATGCTAAATTTTGCACAAACGTGAGAATTATTACACAATTACTGCTATTGCACTTGCGTTACAAATTGTTGAGACCACGTTATTCTCGAAGCTGTAATTAAGTCATCAATTTTGTCAAAATTGAATTTGATTAGACATGTCTGTAAATAAGTTTCAAAAAGCATAGCAAGAATATTATTGAAGAAGAAAAGTAAGTCGTCTAACACTCCAGAGTCAGGATAAAATATAAGCTGTCTCTCGAGTGCGGCCGTTGATACAGCGAGATTACCAAATTATACGAAGAAAAAGAAACCCGAGTTTGCGGAGTTTCTTCATCTCAATCTAATGCACAGATATAAATGTATAAACTCTGACATACTTGTGCATGTATATAGGCAAGCACGAAGCTTTTGCTGGGAATCGCATAATATGATTGTACTCTTCGCGCACGGTATAATAAGACAGAGCAGACTGCACGGCTGGTTTCCTGTTTTTTTCATTTTTGCCTTAATGCGAGCGTTGAATAATAGGAATATCGAAAGTTTTCCACTGATGCATCGCGCCCGAACTTTCAAAGACTTCTTTCTTCAAAACTTGCTTACCCGCATTACATATACTGCTTCGACAAGCTGTTGCGGGTTGCCACTTATTGAACATCGGCTCTCGCCTTAGATTCGTCATGGGAATTTCACATATTATTGTGTCAAATATTCTCGCTTCTAAACTTCTAAGACTATTATTGCGAGCTTTACACGGGAGGACGAAAAAGTTATTTCTGAACTATCGCTCGATTGATAAGCCGTCGGACTTACTCGGTCGTGTATTACATGGGAGAAGAAATTTCGGCTACTTGTGAAACTGTTATGCAGGAAAACTATCTACTTCGATTTTTCGATTTATCACATCAGTATGTTTCTCGCATCACACGTGGCGAATCTTGACAAGTGGAAAATATTCATATCATGGATCTTATTAGAAATTTCTATGACGTAGGAAAATAGTAAGTATCGAATCGTTATCATTCGCTGCATGCATGATCTACTAAAATACGCGTCACGTCTCGACTTCTGACTAGAAAAATTATTTGCGCTACATATGTTCAATAAATTTATATGCATATATTTACGCGATCAAGGTTTCGAAGACATCAGGTCAATTTTTTTTTTCTTTAATCTTCAACGTCATTTCCATGCAAATTAATTCCTCGATGGATAGTTTCCTCGCGAATGTTAACAGTATAATTGATACATTACTATAAAACAGGCTAAAAAGGAGTCACAACACTATTTAATTGATAACTTATCGCTGTTTTTCAAATCAAATAAATACAATCTATAATTGATGGTGAAATTAACGACCTTCGATATAGAACAAGAATATAGAATAAAATAAAAAAATAACCAACAAAACACTTGAAAATCTCACTAAAGATAAGTTATTTTGTAAAATGCTTGTTTACGTTTGGGTTTTCAATTAATTATAAACTTTATTTCAACATTAGAAGCTGTAATATGATTTTCTATTATAGTATACACCGAATAGCTCAGAAATGAATTTTACTGCCTTGATTGGCAAACTATAAAAAATTATGTAACAATCTTTTATCGCTTCTTTGAGTAATGAAATTGAACCGATAGTATACATTTATATTCACAGTACTTTATTTATCAATAAAAGAAAAAAATTTATATGAGGTTGAGGACAGTAAGATACTGTAAAATATTATTGAAATTCTGACGTTTTAAAAACAATTTGAGTTTAATCTTTTTGACATTCACACTTATATGAGCGTACACTTCTGATAGGGTATTGTAAATCTCAACTACTATATTTACTCATTGACTAATTAAAGAACATCTAATTGATTTTTTTCGTACATAAATTTAAACCAGAACATGCATTTAAAGTATCGCACAAAGATATTTATTAAATTTTAGCAACAGATAAATCATTTGGCTTGCGTGAATATTTTTTCAGATTTCCTGCACAACCGATTGTAGAGAATTTGATAAGAGTTTCAAATTATGCAAGAAATCAGTTATGCATTTATATTGATGTTTCGCATGAAGAATTATTTATTAACGAAAGAAAAATTATTTATCATAAATTAACATTTTTTTAGTAATGACAGAAAATGTTTGATGTAAATTATTCGTGAAAAAAATCTCAAAGAAATTAATTCGCGCATCATGTACTTCAAATATTTTCATAAAATTCATCAAGTGTGTTTATGAATGCATAGCAGTTCAACTTTGTTCTGAAACATCTTACTGCATAAAATTTATTTTATTAACATGAGACAGTTTGTTTATAAATAAGAATCGTGAGTTGAAATTTTTAATTCACTATCGAAGTCACGAATCTGGTGAAGTAAATATTAATAACTGCTACTGCTATTACGTGCATAAAAAATAAAAATTTTATGAAAGTTAAGTACTGTTCTTGAAGTTTTGTAAAAAATAATATAAATGCGTACTTCCATTTCGTTGTTTCAATGAGAACTACTTAAGACATTTTCAAGAAACCATTTATGAGTAAAATAAGAAATTTGTAGAATTGTGAAATAAACGAAGTGTGCGAACAAATTGATTACAATTAAAAATGAATGACGTCTTCATTAAAAAAAATGTTTACGAAGTTTTAAGCGTTCAATTTTTAAACTGTAGTTAATAAGAATGTAATACGAGCATCGTATATCATTGCATAAGGGAATAATCATAAATAATTTATTTAAATAAACGAAACGATACAAAAAGTGCCAGATTTCTTGGGAAAAAATTTAAAAAAATTATCAAGCTTTTAATAATTATTACGTAGAAATTTTATTGAATCTAATCTCAAACTTATAAAATTATTTTATTAAGGCTAATAAATTTTCAATTTTTTTCTCTTCAACTTCTTATACTTTAAATGGATATTTATTGCAGACCAATTTTTTTCTTCGAAAAAGACTGTCCATTAAATATCAGATTAAAATTGAAGCAAACAAGTTCATTAACGATATTGACGTTTATTTAACTTCAATCTCATCGATACATATTGTTGTACAAACATTTTTTTCATCAACATCAAGCATGAGCGGTTTTTGATGAGCGGTAAATTGAAGTTAGAAAAATTTTAGGGCAAAGTATACTTCTATATGCATGTGTATTACGTTTAAAATTCAAATCTTAGAAAGTGAAGATTGATCATACACATAAAGATGTACGTATAATATATGTTGCTATCGAACGTATACTTCCAGTTAGATTAAGGATGTCAAAAAATCAATCATCGCATGTGTAATGAAGATGAAAGAATATCTTGCATTGGCATATCTGTCACTCTGAGCGTACGGTTAAAAAAATAATAAATGTATAAACGAAGAGCTTATCTGCGTTTCAAGAGCGAGTTTGCAAATCAATACTCGAGATTTTTTCTTCAAGGCTTGTTCGAGAGCAAGGGTTGAGAATTAAAATTTCAACGAATTTTACTGTTCCCAATAGTATACTGGAGCAGTGTATACAAGTACTGCATAGTTCTAAAATAGCATACTGCTGTATACCCTTGAAAAGTCATGCGCTTGCGCAAAGACTTTCCAGTTCTCGCTTGCTATCCGAGTCCCGACCTCTCGAGTCTCAATGGATACTGAAACGCAACGACTCGAAAATTTTAATCTGACGCAATATTTGGAGTGGTTTCGGGCCTGTTTCCAGGATCACGTTTTACAGTACCAAAATCATACCAAAATATAAATTGACAGAGAACTCGACGTTAGCTCTAAATTTAATCACTTGCACGTTGATTTTATTTTTAAAACATATTACGCTTTTCTCATGCATTTAAAATATTTAATTTTTATAAACTAAAGACGATTGAATGGACTACTTAGATTATGCAAAAGATAGATCGTATATAAGGTATTTAATGTCTAGAGATGCGATAATTGTAATTGAATAAGCAGATAATAAGATCGCGTAAGGAGATAAAAAAAAGCGGTAATGTAATGCGAGAGAAGTGCGAGTGTTGCGACAGGTAAACATTTCTTCGCGACAAAACAAGGAAAATAATCTTGCAGCCAGTGACGTTGTTAGACGGTAGACTCGCGCGCACGAGGATAGATTCATCGGCGCATAAATGCGAGTCAGTGAGAGACAGAGAGAGCGAGTAAAAAAAACACGCAAGACCGAGTAGTTGCGGTAAAAAAAGAAATAACAATGAACACGAACTGGTTTTTCAGCTATGCACATTTTCGAGGGTTCGCAAAACGGGAAAGGGACAAATAATCGAATATATTGAGATAATGAAAACAAGAGGTACATGAGGTATAGACTAGGTATAGATGAGAAATAACTAGGTCAACGGGGGTGGGGGTGCAGCAGCAAGAAGCGTAAAGTCGCCGACGCGAGTCAAAGATAGATAGACGCACAGGTATAACATGGATCATTGGTACATTTAAAAATGCCGTACATACCTTGGGCGTCCATGACGGATGAGATAAGCGATTGCGAGACCTGGGGATGCAGAATGCCAGCTTGCAAGGCGAAATCGCGCACGGTGAGACAGTAGCTAAGCAGAGGCTCGGCCAGCAGACTGATACAGGCGGCCACCCAAGGCATAGCAGCAAATTGGTCCTAGATAGAGGTGCACGAGCTGCACTATATGCTCTCTCGTTGGATTACACGGGGGGCTACTTTACTGATTGCGATCCAGCTCGATAATCCCAGCTGCTGTGGAGCAACCGCTAGAGCTTTTCCGAAAAGTGATCGCTGCTGGTGTGACGTATTATCGAGAGCAGGTCCTCCCTCATTCCAATCTGCTTGATCCTCACTTCCGGAGCCAGTTTGCGAGCTTCGCACTGCACGTACCGCACCAAGAGGCTTAAAAAACGATTGTCCCGAGCCGACTCTTGGCAGCTCGTCGAGCACTTGTAGTTCACGGCGATATTATCATGTCCAGTCGAACGTCCCTCCTTGAAGCACGAGTCCGGAGTGTCTTGCAGAGGTTTACATAATGTTTACATGCGCGACGAGCGACGCACACGAGCGTAATATCGCGATCCGAGTATAGATACGAGAGCTGTCTTATACGAGTCCCTGAGAGAGAGTGTGCATGTACGTGCCCCGATCGAGTCGAATCACCAATGACCGAACGCCAGCAGCAGATCGTTAGTTCTTTTTCCCGTACAGTGTATAGATATAAGCGCGATTGTGCACTCTCTAGTCGAATTGCTACTAGTCGTCGTTTCCGATCGTGTCGCGCGGCGGCCACTACTATAAGCGAGCTGCAGCACCGCGGAGAGCTCTCGTGTACTGACTTGCCGCTCCGAAAGTCCGCCAGTCGAAACGGGCATGTGCCTACTCTCGACTTTATATATGATACTCGATCGTTGATTCGCGCTCCGGCTGCGAGACGTAAGCCGTGCTGGTCTGCGCCAGGCGCGACGTTGCTCCGTTTTGCGCCTTCGACCCGCAGCATATACGCGTCTCGATAGAGCCTTGAACAGCTATATCCGACCACGTGCCGTGTCATCGTCTCTCTCTCTCTCTCTCTCTCTCTACCTATTTTGCTATTCGTTTTACAGGCTCGCTGCATAAAGGAAAGTGCAAAACAAGTCGTGATATGGCTATGATCGAGCTGACGAATTGTAAGTTCAGCTTGTCACGCGTAGTTATGCGCAGACTCCATCTCTAGAAAAGCTTAGATTCTTTCAGCAACAATTTTAAATTATTTCATACACCTTTTATTTAGAATCACCGAAAGCCATTAGTCTTTTTCTTTTTCAAGATTTTTATACTAACTTCAAATTGCTACACTTCTTCAGCTGCTAAATTAGTCATTACATTTCAAGAATCCTTATTAATTTTATTCACGTACGTACTGAAGATCTGCTTGTTCTGCATTTCATAAGCTAATTACATACATTTCTTTTTCGTCGTTGTGCTTCTTATAATCACTCCTCATTACTGAAGAGACGCATAGATATGAGGTGTATTTACAGCTTACAATACTTTTAGATGAGTCAGTAATTATGATATTGCAACAAGTACAGAGGATGTATCGAAATCATGGAAAACATCTGCACTTTCAAACGAGCTTTTTGAGGTTTCTGCATATTCGCTTGAAAATCTTAGAGAAAGACTTTAATTATTTATTTTCTGGGCATCCACTTAATTCATTGGACATGTATTGAGTAATAATCTCAAAAAATACATTTAAAAATGTTATTTAACTTGGATTTTTTAATCTTTCAAAGTCCAAGATTATGCTCAAACAGAAAAAAGTTTTTCCGCATTTCAAAAATTCAGAACCTTTGAAACGTTTGTTAAATGGAGAAAAAAATGTTCATATGTAAGTTCAATCAATGCAACGGTACTTTATAACATAACGAAACCGAACAGCTAGTAGTGCAATACTCTTAATTATGTTTGAGAAAAAAATCATATTGATTGATGAAAATTACATCAAGATAAACAAAAGAAAAGAATTTGGAACTGAACGAAGACGAAAAGAATCGCGGCCAATCTAAATCAAGGCAAATCATGATTTTATAAATGTAATTGGTTTTAAGGCAAACTTCTGTGACTGCTCGTTTTAACGCAAGCTCATTTCAATTTTCCGATAACGACATCTGCAGATAGCTGATTTAAACTTAGTTTGTTCAAATATTTATCTATTAACTTTACAAAGGTTGATGGCATCCAAGAATTGAGCACGGGGACTTTGTGAACGATTAATTTGATTATTAATGATTTTAATATTGATTTAGAAAATGCAACTCAGTCAACAGTTTAATTGCACTTACGAGTATTTTTACAGTTTAGATACTTCAGTAATTCAAAATGCGGAATTGATTTTTTGATACTTTTAGGAACCTTGAACCAAAATTTTAGTGTTTCATAATCTATAGCTTGGTGGTGATTGCCTAGAAATAATAATAAAGGAACCATCAAACAATAAGACTTAAATTAAGTATGAATTAAAGACTCATTCACGTAAAATAATAATTGCAGTTGTTATATCAGTAATTTCAGTTATTTTATAAATTTAAATAAAAAATTAACTTTGTTAAAAGAACTAAAAGTGATTGCTACTGACTTTGCAGAAATATTCATGATAATTCAAAAACTTTTTATTAAAAAGATCAATTTATATTTGATGAATGATTGCTATCTTCATTTTTTTATAAATATTTATTCAAATAGAAGTCATTTTGAATGCACTGTACAACAATCATATAAAAATCAAAGAAAATATGAAACATTCCAATCTGGCAGTTAATATTTCATTTATTTAACAAAATTATTATGAAAAATATAAATAAACTCTACTCAAAATCAAACTTTTGTTATTTTCTAGTTTCAATTTATTACATGGGGCATTAAAATCAGTTGATTCCTACTTTAAATGTTTCATGACAAAATAATACAATCTCCTTAGTTACTTTAAAATTTAATATTAATTAAATTATTTACTAATAATGATATTATAAAATTTTCACATTTTAGTAGATAAATTATTTTACACCAATATATTACAGTTGAAGTGATATTTTTTATACCCACTCTTTTTTCCAAAATTTGTTACTGTTATACATTTTTCAGTTGTCAATATCTACCCTTTGTCTAGTTTTTGGATTCTGCAATACATAGAGAAATTTCAAATAACTTAAGCTTACTAAAATAAATACTTTTATTTAATCATACATACTTGTTCTATGGATGTTGGTGGCGATGCAAAAGATCTACTGTTATTTAATATATTATTTGAATATATTTGTTTACTAGTAGTGGGATAATTGAGGTATGAACCATTATTCAAGTTTTTTGATCCCTAAAAACAAGTTTTTGATATAATTATAAGAAATAAAAGTTCAAGTATAAAATACAAGTAATTGCATCACATAAATTACCTCAAGAAATGATCTATTTCTTTTCCTATATCGAAATGTATTTTCAGTACCGTTGTTTAATAGTTTTTCATCATACTTGGGTTCACAGCAGGAATTTTTATATTTTACTGTAAATATTTTGAATTAAATTTAGGGTCATACATAAATTAAAGATAAGACAATATCTTCACAAGACTTACTCTCAAAGAGATGGCAGAACCAACCCAAAAATCAAATTTTTTATTTTACTATCTGAAACTTTTACTGAATATTTTTCTAATAGGGTCTTATATTATAATGTTCTTTAGGGCATCGTAAAGCCTTTTAGAAAAACATTCAATGGAATTTTAAAAAACTAGATTGGAACTTTAATTTTTGAGCTGGCTTCTCCATTCTTAAATACATGTGCGTTTACATAATTGTAGACTTATAACTCTAACCTTCTTTTTTTTGAAAATGTGGTGGTCTGTCATTTGCCATTGATGCTGTAAGAGAAACACTATTTGCAAAAGTTGTATAGGCTGTACGTCCTTTTAACCTTGGAAATAATGGAATTAACCTTCGACCCTCAACTGTCCATTCTGTATCAGTGTTTGGGCCAAACAGCCTAAAATTAAAAAATTTACAGTATAATTCTAGTATACTGAACAAATTTGACTGGAACTTACTGTTCAGCAATTATAGACAATTTGTCATCATTAACTGCTCTTCTAATTTCAGCCTGATGTCTCTCTGTTGAAATATGAAGAACTGAAGCTAATTCACCTAGTAATTTCTGCTTTCCCTCAGTCAGCGGACCTTGTCCTCGAAGAGCTGAGACCATTTTAGAATATGCATCTAATTCTGAAATTAAAATGAGGTATTAATAAGTACTCAATCTAAAACATTGTATTAAAAACGTATTGGATTCATCATTAATGGGTGATTAAATAATAAAAATAACATTCATGATATAAGCTAAAGGACTTACCTAAAAACCTTAAATATTTTCTGCAATCATCTCGAGACATTTCTGAGTACATTTTGATATCAGTATATTACAGAATTAATTACTTAATTTTTAATTATCTAGTTTCAAATGTGACAGAACTGGGTATATACAGACTTGCTATCTAGACATTTATATTAAATGAACTTTTTCCTTAATCAGAAACACATTTTAAGCATTACTCAAGCCATTAATTGATAATTATTAAGAAAATTGAGTAATATTACTTTTTGACTTTACATAAAGTTAAATATTTATTATTCTAGTAACCTAAGATTGCTACACAGTTAGTTTGTTGTCGACTAATAATACTTTGTATATGGCAGACTGAGGCCGCTCATGGAGTTACGAAAATTTTCATTTCACGCACCTTTTCCTAAAGCGCGAAATTTAAATTTTCGAAAATTTTTTATGAAAAATTGATAAATGATCAATCTACGAAAGATATCAAAATGAAGTATTTTCTATAAATTATTAGTAATTTGAATTTATTATTGATAATTATTATGCTTATGCACTTATTATGGGCGCTCGTGTGAAAGAAGATTTGTTTATTTTTGAATCAGATAATATAATTATATGTTGTAAGAATTACTCGTTTTTTCTCGATAAATTTTTAGAAACAAATAGATGAATTTTTTAAAGATATACAAGGAGCGATGCAAATAACAAATATAAATGGAAATAGTAAGAAGATATGAAGCATCATTTTCCAATCAATCAACGGCTGAGGAATATCTACGTAAATGAAGAAAGTCAATGTGTTTACCTAGAATTTATCTGAAAGTCTAGTTTTGCAAGAGGAATAAAGAGGGAAGGAGGTTCACATGTAAGTTGCATAGGATGGCGGTCGGTAATCTCTGATCAGCAAATAGCTTCTCATAAAATGCTTTGTTATAGTTGCGACAACTCTCAGGACATGAACATGAGAGTCGCAAGCTGATATAAACTGTGTGTTCGAGCTCACAAGCAATTTTTTTTTTTTTTTTTGATAACTCGTCTCGACATCCGCGAAAGTTTTAATTTTTGTCGTCGATGAAATTATATACTGGTATTTGATCATCTAAAATGGCTTCCTTGATCCACGATTCAATTAAGCAGAATCATAGGAACATCAGGAGTGAGTAAACTATAAATTATTCATCCAACGTACAATGGTGATCTCATTAATACATCTAATGTATTTTTACCAGTTTGATACAGATTAAAATTATGATGAGCCCACAGGCAAACACAAACAATATAATAATAACAATGCCAGCATCAAGTCACAACTGCAGTAACAAGGAAGGAACTTGTGCAAGTAGAGATCACATGGAATGCAATGGCAACGCGCCCGTTTCGAAAAATCCCATCGACTTAAGCGAAAATTTGGAGTTCTGGATGACTCGACTACCGCTCAAGCTCCAGACACTACCAATCATTCAATTAGCCATTCCCGGTAAATTTTTATAATAATTATTTCTTTCATAAATTCTTTCTTGCTCTTCGTAATCAACAATTTTATATTAATAGTACGAAAAAAATTAATAAAAATTTCAATGTACTCATACTTCAAAGTATTTTGAAACTATTTTTCATTTGCGAATTATCAACAGGTCCAATTACTTATCTAACTTAATCAATTTTTTTTTAAATTCTATTAAAAAATCTTTCAGCATTTACATTCAATGTAACTTAAAATAGGATTCTATTACTAAACGCAATGTCATTGTGAGTCATTTTCCAAGTCACAAATAATATATTTTTAACTAGCTTCTTACAATCGTCTGAATTGTTAAGATCTTGAATTTTCTCACGAGTTTTCTTACCTTGGATTTATATATCATGCAGGTTCTCATAACAGCATGACGTACACAATCGAGCCGGGTAATGATATCGGGCCGGATGAAACGCCGTCTATTCAAATGCTCGGCCGCTGCCTATCCATACTAATGCGACCGATAGTTTTCAATTGGTCTGTTAATCAAGAAATCAGCGTCAGAGAACAGCTTGATGGTGGCATACGATATTTGGATTTAAGAGTTGCGGTCAAAACGAGCGAAGATAAGATATATTTTCTCCACGGATTGTACGGCGCTGAGATAAGCCAACCACTCCAAGATGTTGCCGATTGGTTGTCAACGCATCCAAATGAAATCATAATTCTTGACTTTCAACATTTTTACAAATTCAACTACCAGCATCACGCAAGCTTAATTGAATTTATAAAACAAGTATTTGGCAGAAAATTGTGCCCCGTTTTTAACAAATTAGATCATTTGAGTCTGCAATGGTTAAATAAAGAAGCATATCAAGTATTTGTAATTTATCGTAATATTGCTGCTCGCAATTATAATTATTTATGGCCAAGTGGTGCTTGGTCAACACCGTGGCCAAACACTGTCAACACGTCTACACTTGTCAATTTTTTAAACGAAAGTTTACAAGCTCGAGATCCAAGAATCGGTTACGTATCCCAATGTCTCCTAACACCCAACGCTGCATACGTAATTAAACACATATGTGGAAATTTACATCGCGACTTGTGCCCAAAATGTCGAAAAGTTACTTTGTCGTGGATAAAAAAACACGCACCTGGTAATGGAGGCATGAACATTGTTATAACAGATTTTGTATCTCTGGACAACTTTATATTCTCGAAAACTGTTATACAACGAAATATGCAACTTTTGTATCCTGCCATTTCTTGTAATAATTAATATTTATTATTAATAAAATTTATATTAAGTAACAGTTCGAAAATTTTTATATCGACAGCTTATAAGTAAATTTCCAATTTATTCTCACAAATATCAAGTAATTAAATTCAATCATAAACATTTGTATATGCGCGTTTGCATTGTACATCAGACTTATAGTATTGATGATATTCATGAAATATAAAGTTCATATCTACAATTGATATAAATGAATTTTATATGTTTTAATAAACACATAAGTTCATTAATGAAAAAACACTCCTAAATCACAAATTAATTTGCATTTTTCATTACTAAGAAATGAAAACCATAAAGTTATTAAATTCTCAACTAATTCACATCACAGAGCTTTCACTTTCAATTGTTTCATTTTTGGAGCTCTTTTTTTGGCAAGTCTGCGTTGTTCTTTTTCTTCCCATTTTCGTTGTTTATCTGGATCTTCTTCTTGAAGAATACGTTCCTTTTCAACTCTGCGCTTTTCTTCTCTTCTTGCAGCAGCAGCTTCTACTCGTGCTGCATGCGTAGTTTTTAAAAATGCTTCTTCTACTTTTTGTCTATTTTTATCAGTCTTGGATTTTCCCTAAAAGTTATCAGGAATAAAAATATTAGCAATTTGTTTTGATAATTACTAAGGATAGCATTTTTGATAATTACCTCTTTTGATAATTTAAATCTTCTTATTTTATCCAACATATAAAATGTTAGTTGTAACAAAGGTCTGATTTTCTCCTGATTTTCAGATTCATTTAAATGTCCCTTAAGGCTAATATTCAAACCTACTAATAAAACTCGTTTGACTTCTGGCATGGTAAGTTGAGTTGACTCTCTGTTAAGAAAATTATCACTTGTAATTATAATGTTTATGATTTCATTTATAGTATTTATTTAAAAAACTTACTCTTGTTGTTTAAGACCACTGTACTGATCGCTTATGTGAATGTAATCAATGTATTGATGATATTTATTAAAGGCTTGTATGACTTTAGCATCCAAAATAGCAGATGTTGCTTCAGAAATTTCGGACATAACAAAAAATCCTGATGGTAAATTGAATTTTTCACCTGATCTTCTCTCAGGACAATAGACATTTATATCAGCCATTTCTTTAGAAAAGTGAATGGCAGTTTTTTTAGTCGCAACAGCTAAAACAAAATTATCAATTTCATCTTTGGCCAGTTCCACCCTCAAATGTGCTTGGTCATTTTGTGGACGAATTATCTGAGACAATGAGGACACTAAATCTTGGCGTTTCAAAAGTTTAAGTTCAATTAACAAGCTATCACACCCAACTCTCCCAGAACAATATATGTTATATAAAGAATCACTTTCTTTGATAGGGCCATCTGTAGTTTCTTCGTCGCCTCTTCTTCCATTATCACCTACTAATGAAAAATTATCTAAGAGAAGTTGCTTATGATCATTGTAAAATGTATCAGCAATATGGCAATTCTTGGTCTTTCCGTTGATGTAATTAACAAAATAAACTAGTAAACCAACTAACATCAAAATTTCAAGATAAAAACTTTCCCATCTTGTGCGTAAATGGGGAGGAAGTTTTGTGATTGTTAAGGTTTTTGGCTTTTCTTCAATTTTTGCATCAGCACTTGCACCATCAACTCCTTCAAACTCTTCTTCATCTTGAAAATGATCAAATTCATTGTCACCATCTTCCACAGAAACATCATCCTCTTCATAAGGAGCATCTTTTTCTACATCTTTTAACTGTGGTGAAGGATGATTTTGATTGGATGCAGCTTTGTGTGTGAGCTTCTCATCTTCAAAATCTTCAAATTCTGCAAATTCATTATCTTCAAAAAGTTCTTCTTGATAATGTGCAGTAACCCACAAATTGGTTCCTACCAAGATGATATGGAGTAATACAAGCCACAGTTTCATTTTGTCTGCAACACAAACAAAAATAATTGTTTAAAAAATGTCTATGCAATAATATTGAATTACATGATAATATTATTTTTAACACAATTTATGCATTATTATACATAAATGTTGGACGATTCATATAAATCAGAGAAACTGATGAATATAATACTGATGAATAATTGAATTGTAAACTTTAAATTTTCGATTATGCAATTGAGAGCATAAAAGTTATAACACACTTCAAAAATAAACAACACCTACTTTGAGTATTTTCAACACATTATTTTAATAGAATCAAAGGGGTATTGTTAGACGTGAAAAATATAGCAGACTGAATTATTATTAGCGAATAAGGCAAACCTCATAAGATCGAAACAGCCATCAAGCCACGTCGTACTTTTGAACTATAATTTGGATGTACTGTATGATGCCTGTATGATAATTTACTTAAGGTATACCTGTATATTACTCACGTGAGTAGCTTATCTGTATTCGTACAATGCACCCACGTTAATAGAGTTGAGTAGACTTTTATCGTTTTGATTGACTCATTAATACAGTAATAATTACACGGTATCTCGAGTGCCTTCAGCTTAGAACCCCGTGAATGTAGTCACAATATTATGACAACTACTAAGCAAGCGCTGTTTTCACTTTTTTAAACTTTTCAAGTATAGGGACGCGTAGCGCAAAAGCTTACTCGACGATTGTATAACTTTTTTACTGCATCTACATAAAAAGACGATTTCTTTTTAAAATGGATAACAACTATTTAATAAATTTATAATTTTCTGTTAAATATCATGGAATCCTGCAGAAATGATTGAAAAAAAATCGTGACAGGCATCAGCAGGCAGCGCTGCGCATGCATCTAGCTTCATGATAACTATATGTCAAACTACGAACAACCCTGCGGCTTGTGCCCTTCGGGGTGGTATAGCAACGGGTTATTTGATTGACCATAAAGTAAGAATAATCAACTTATTTGTTTTTACCGAATAGTTTAAACAATCCGAATGTTCAACAGTAGTTATCCAAATTCTGACCCGTTTCTAGGCGTAGCAGTGCGTCAACAACAAGTTGGTAGTTGATACGAAAACTTATAGTTCAGGGGTGAATTTGCGCTGCAAGCATTTTTTCATATGAAAGTCGGAAGGATCAATAATGTAGCTGTTATTGGATTCATTGGCAACTCGCTATCTGTCGTTTGGTTACTATAAAAATACGTATGATACTTTTCATTTTATTATATTGTAATTCATCGTGGATAAAAGTATTTAATTAGTGCTCGACAAGTTTTCTAATTTATTGCTTTATTTACAGGTATTAAATACTTTTCGACGATGGATAATCTAGTCAAGTCTGCAAAAAAACGTAGTAGCAAAGTCTCATCGACTATTGAAGTTGCTACACAATGCGTTCAAGTAGTAGTACGATGTCGGCCAATGGAAGAAAAAGAAATCGCTAAAAATTATGTTAATGTGGTGGATATTTTTCCTTCAAGAGGAGCTGTGGAAATACGCAATCCTCGTGAAGAAGCGGACAAAGATAACGTCAAAGTCTTTTCGTTTGATTCAGTTTATGATGGAAAATCGTCTCAACAAGAAATATATGAAGAAACTGTTAGGCCTCTGGTTTCTTCAGTCCTTGATGGGTTCAATGGTACAATATTTGCGTATGGACAAACTGGAACTGGTAAAACTTATACGATGGAAGGTCCAAAAAATGACGAGGCTAAAAGAGGTATCATACCTCGGTCTTTTGAGCACATTTTCACACATATAAGTAGATCAAAAAATATACAGTATTTAGTGCGTGCCAGTTATTTAGAAATTTATCAAGAGGAAATTAGAGATTTACTGCATCAAGATCAAAATCTTCGATTTGAATTGAAAGAAAAACCTGAAGTTGGAGTCTTTGTTAAGGATTTATCAAATTCCATTTGTAAAAGCAGTGAAGAAATACAGCAATTAATGAAGAGTGGGAACCAAAACAGAACCATTGCAGCCACAAATATGAATGAACATAGTTCAAGATCTCATGCAATTTTTATGATTACAATTGAAATGGGAGATAACTGTGGAATAAGAGTTGGTCGCTTAAATTTAGTTGATCTGGCAGGGAGTGAACGTCAAAGTAAAACTGGTTCCACTGGAGAACGGCTAAAAGAAGCTAGTAAAATTAATTTGAGTTTGTCTGCTCTTGGTAATGTAATCTCAGCTTTAGTTGATGGTAAAACTTCACATGTACCTTATAGAGATTCAAAACTGACCAGACTGCTCCAGGATTCATTGGGTGGTAACTCAAAAACAATCATGATTGCAAACATTGGTCCTGCTAGTTACAATTATGATGAAACACTTACAACTCTAAGATATGCTAATAGAGCTAAAAATATTAGAAATAAACCCAGAATTAATGAAGATCCTAAAGATGCTTTACTTCGACAATATCAAGAAGAAATCCTGAGGCTTAAAGAGCAGTTGACACAGAAAGCTTCAGTGCCAAAAAGAAAACCCAAAGGTAAAGTAAAAGTAGAGGATGGAAATGAGGAATCAGAATCAGAAGTAAGCCAAGAAGAAAATGCTCAGGTTTCAGAAAGCGAAAGAAAATTAATAGCTGAACAACTGAAAGCAGAAAAGCAGGAAGCTGAAGAATTAGAGCTTAAAATAAAAGAGCTAGAAAGTAAAATGTTGTGCGGAGGAAAAAATATTGTTGATCATACAAATGAACAACAAAAAGCAATTGAACAAAGGGCAACAGAAATAGCTGAACGTAAAAAACGTGAAGTAGAAATGCAACAAAAGCTAGAGGAAGAAGAACTCACTACTCTTGGTGTACGAGAAACTTTTACTAATTTACAACAAGAAGTTGATGTTAAATCTAAAAAATTACGGAAGTATTATGCTAAGTTACAAGTTTTAAAACAAGATTTGGATGATGTAACAAATGAGTATAATAGAGATAGAAGAGATTTGGAGCAAACTCAGCATGAGTTGATGAAAGAATTGAAATTAAAATATTTGATAATAGAAAATTTTATACCAATTGAAGAGAAAAATAAAATTCTAGCAAGAATAAGATTTGATGATGATGAAGATCGCTGGGTTTTGAAAAATCCAGAAATATTAAATATTGATCCTATAAAACGTTTAGTTTCTTCGCCAGGCTTGCGGAGACCCACTTCAGAGTATGCTCATACAGCTCTTGCTGTAAATAAAGGCCTGAGGTATGCAGGTGAAAATATTTTGAACCCTGAGCTTGATATGCCTGCCCGTACCACTCTAGATTATCAAAAACCAGTAATTGCTCCCACAATTCAAGCAGTTTTAGAAAAAGCTTTACGCGATGAAGGAGATATAGATGTTGATGCATCAAATGCTTCTCTAAAAAACAGATCACGCTTGCTATCAGCAAAATCTCGTCCAAAATCTATTGGTAAAAACCATCAATCTTCAGCACCAATTTATCCAAAAACAAGAGGTTTAGTTCCGAAGTGAAATACATTTTTTCTTTAGTTTTAAAAATAAGCTTTTATTCAAATTTGTAACAATAATGGATTTATAGGCAAGACTCAGAATTAATTGATTATATTATGTTATAATTTTAAATATTCGATTTTAAATTGCTATTTTTTACATTAATCTATCAGTTTTAATTCGTAAGATGTACCAAAGAAACTACAATGTAAGAAATAAAATTTTTATGATTTAAATGATTTTTATTTTACAATCTTTATACAACTGTACAACCATGTAGTTATACGAAAAAAGATTTGTTAGTAAATACTAATAAAACAAGGTTGAAAACAAAATGATACAAATTTAAGATGTTTATATTTTATTTTTTTTCTGGATGATACATTTACATGTATGTATTTAGTACAATTTAATATTTTCAAGTTCTTCATTGATTAAAAATATTAATACTTATAATATTCGTATTTCTATACTATGAAATTTACTTTTAATTTTTCAACTTAAAAATTCTAGGTATTTCTTTCACATCAATACAGTTTTACAATGATTTTTTAGTGGTTATATCACAGACCTAGCTATGATAAAAATTTACCCACTACCACATTGATTTTAAATTGAATAAAAAAAAAGAAATTTGTAACAATGAAAAGAAAGTTACTTTCATAAATATTTTCATATCGATTTTTAGATTAATTCAAACATTTAATTTGAAAACTATTAACTGGATGGTTACTGCATTTTCAAGGTAAACCATTTTTATTTCGTGTTTAATTATTATTCAAACCAATATACTTACCTGTGAATATATAACACGTGATGTTTCAAAGTTGAAATTTATAAAAAAAATTAATAAATTAGTGTCAATGCACATGTATTCGTATACATTGCTCCAAAGTATCCTAGAATCATTATTCATTTTTAAAAATCAAATATTTTGGAAGAATCCAAACGATTCAAACTAACTCGTTAATTATGACTATCTTAAATTATATTTTTTTAAAAATGTTAAGGCACCTTTAAAATATTAATTTGATACAAATTTTCATATCACATAGTGCTCAAAGTATAGTATAAAAATTGTTGTATTCAAATACTATATAAATTAATAGTACAAATTTTTTTAGAATATACTTGTAAAAAACGATTGATAACATTATCAAAAACCATTACATTCTCAAAGTTCACTTAGACAAAAATTATGTCTAGAAAGTTAATAGTATTTTATTAAACGAAATAATTGGCAATGTGTAGGAAAAATGTATTATTTTATTAAGTTATTTTACATAGCTTACACATTATATGTACATTGAATTGTAAAAATTTCTTACAAATCAACTTAAGATTTATCAAAAAATAAAGTTAAAAATAATGATCAACTATTCCTATACAACTTACTTTAGTCATACATTTTTTGAAGTATGTTACATTAAATTCATACGATGCGTAAAAATTTCATGATGGGTTCTGACACTATTAAGAGTTCTTTAAGTTTTGCTCAACTTAGTAAACTCGAATAAAAATTATTAATTTTAAAAAATATAAGAAACGTTTCTAACAATGTTATTTTTTTCAGCATTAATACAACCCAAGAATATAAAATTATAAATGAATGCATAACATGTAACTGATAAAACTATGATTCAAGTCTGATGAGCATTTACTAAGAAGGTAACTAATCAAAAGAAAAATAAGTCCATGAAGCAATATTATCAGTCGATAGAATATTTAAAAGTCATTTAACATGTAACCAAAGCTATTCATTGAATACTATTAATAAAAACGTTGTTGTTGAGAATAATTATTAAATGACTGTTGTTGGGGATAACTGGATGGTGGTGGTGCTCTTAGTGGTTGAGGAGCCCCAAATGACGAACTTCCATAGTTAGATTGAGTTGGCGGATATGGATTGGATGAAACTCCACCGTATTGATTTTGAGTATTCATATTATTGTAATTTGAGCTGAAGTTGTTAAATCCATTATTCATAAAAGAAGCAGCTCCACCGTAAGATGGAGGTGGTTGTGGTGGTTGTGGTGGAGGTACCATGCCATAATTTTGATACTGGTTTGACGGATATGACATTTGCTGATTGTTTGGAGGAGCTGGATTCATATTGAAATTCGAATAACTGTTTTGTGGCATAGATGGAGCAGTAATTGGTGGTATCAATGAGCTGGATAAACCTTGACCAGACAGTGGTGAGTTTTCCGACATAGGCGAAATGTGAGACTTTGTCACAAACTTGTTCGGCAGGTCTCCCATGATATTGGCGATCAACTTCTTCGTTTCATTTAAGATAGCGTTAGGATCGCTATTTTTGGGATAATCAGTGGATTTTTTCAAGTTTGGTGATCGCGATTCTGAACGGGACCATGATTTTGGTGATTTAGAACGGGACCTCGAGTATGAGCGTTTTTTGGCTCGTTCGTTTTCTAATACATTCTTATCGGCTGCTTTGTAAATATCTTCGTATGAATAATCATCATCGTCATCGTCAGACAAAACCAATTTCTTAGGTTTTTCATCAAACCTTTTCCGTTTATCTTCTTCTTCTTCCTCAGCGAACATATCAAGCTTGGGTTTCCATTGATCTTCGTCGTCACAAGGATTATGAGTGCCTTTCCGCATTGAAAATGGAGAAGTACTTCGAGCGGGTCGTAAGAGCTCATCGTTATCACTCTCGGGCGATATAGGTTTTAATGCTGGAGAGGCTGATGAAGAACCCAAGTTTACGTAGGCTCGTAATTTTTCCACTCTGGCGGAGTCCGTGGCCTCGAGTTTTTTCAAAAAGTTGATAAGACCATGCTGTTCATCCGTACTTAAATCCTTGAAATTTTGTAAAAGTGATTTCAAATCGTTATCCGATAAACTTTCCATTTTGACAGCTTGATCAAGTGGTTTAATCACTTCAGGCGTTTTTGAACGTAAGCTCTCTGTAATACTGTTCAAAGCGTCCTTGACGTTTGCAACACTTGCAGGAGTTGAAAGACCTGGAACATTGGTAAGCTTAGCTGCACTTGCTGCAGTGATAGGTATCGGTGGAGGAGGTACTGGTTGTACTGGAGGCGCGGGGCTTGGATTAGTATTTCCTGCCGTCAATCCTTTGACAAAATCTGCGGTGGTCACAGGTTTGTCGCTATTTTTCGAGGCTTCCGCCATACCGACGACAGCGTTTATCAAGGTTTCAAGTTCCTCTTGAGAAACATTTGTTCTGCCTTGAGCTACGAGTGCAGCTGCTATTTGTTGGGCGATCGCCATTTTATCGACCGTACCAACACCTGGAACGCTGACCGGTTCAGATTTTCGAATAGAATCTAAACTGCTTGTATACACAGTTTTAGACATGAAGCTCAACGAGGATCTGGTTTGTTCAACAAGCTCTTTCTGTTTTCTCTCCTCTTCTTCCTTCTTTTTCTTATTTTCAGATGTATCATGAAGCAATCGGGCTATATTTTGAATAGCATTTTTGGTCGCTGGAACCGCTACTTTCTCAATCATACCTGTAAACGAATACATCGAAAATGAGTGAATAGTTGATCAATCTAGTTAAAAGTTGAAATTTTATCAATTATAGATTCTTACCTGCAAAGAGTTGTCCTTTAAGTTTTTCCTTGACTGTCTCGAAGAGAACGCTTACGTCTTCGTCGAAAAGCAACTCTTCGGCAGAATTAGGTTTAGCCTTTTCAGCAGCCAGAGCTTTCGATAACAAAGCAACAACTTTGGGACCAAGAGATCCCAACTGGTTCTCGAGTGCAGTGAGCAGTCGGAGTAAACCGATGATTTCGAGATCTTCTTTGAGTTCCTCTTTGGGAGGAGATGGGGAATTGTTACGATCGACGGGATAAGGAGTCGCGTGGTACCTAGGCCTCGACGGAGGAGCGTAATAGGACTTGTAGGGCATGCCGCGTCCATAAGATGGAAAATAGTCCCGGTCTCGGTCTCTATCGCGTTCGCGATCCCTGTCACGGTCCCGCTCTCGGTCCCTCTCTCTGTCGCGCTCCCTATCTCTGATGCGATCTCTATCTCTGGGCTCGCGGTCGCGATCGCGTAATTTGTCTCTGTGTTCTCTGTCTCTCTCGCGTTCTCGGTCTCTGTCACGCTCTCGATCGCTGCGCGATGGTATGAACTTGTCAACTTTTTTCAATGTGCCGACGTATTCGACCTCGTCGTCGCTATCTGGACATTTGCGGCTGCGTTTTTCTCCATTCGAGGGTTTCGCTCGTGGAGCCGGTGGAGCCTCTAGCGAGGGTGGATCGCCCGAAAGTTCAAGCTTTTTCTTAATTTCATCTTTGCGCCTTTCGAGCTGCTCCGCGTGCAATTCCCGCATGCGTTTGTTCCAAAATTCAATCCACTCGGGTTTGAAGTCGTGCTTGCTTGGGTCTTTTCCCTCTTGCTGCAGTTCTTTGTAGCGTCTATTCCAAAACTTTTTCCATTCTTCGGGATAAGCAGGGTGTTTTTCAGGATTTTTCTCGTGATATTTAAGCAAGCGATCGAGCGATTCTTCCGAGCGTCGCAACAGGGCTCTATATTTGCCCCAACGACGCTCCAGCGAACGAGAACGACCTCTTGACTTGGAATCGGATGTTCGTGCAGTATTTTTGCTGTTACCACCGCGACGACCTTCGTTTGAACCTGAACGCGAACGCTTTGGCGAAGGACTACTTGAGATGCTCGATAACGATGAAAGCGATTTCGCGTCGTCTGCATCGTCATTGTCTCGGTTGCTTTTGCGACTTTTTTTTCTGTGCGTTGATGTTGGTTTTTCAACGCCTCCAGAAGATGTATCTCTTGTGTTGAGACGAATTTTGATACCACTGAAATTAAATTTAACGATTTAATTCATTTTATTTAGTGATTTGCTTTGTATACAATACGACCTTATCATTTGAATTGATTCAATTATATAAAGTTGATATGAATTCATTGACATGTTAGTTACGATAAAAATTCTTTTTCTCGTTATAATCTAACGATTTATCAATGCAAGTGTATAGTGAAAGTTTTTATTACAAAAAATTTCAAAAATTATTAAATTTCAAACTAGTCCAATGTACCTTCATATTCGTTAATACTTTTGAGCGGTTATTAGCCCTAGTAAGATTATTATATAACTATAAGTTAAATTAATATCTCTTAATTAAATTTGATAAATTGAAGCTAATAGTGATAAACTGATTTGTCATGGATTATAAAATTATAAATGCACATATACTTACGGTTTTGAGTCCAATTTTTGGTCAGGTCTTGTATTTAAGCTTTGAAATACTTTGTCCAATTTAGACTCTTCTTTTTTTTCTGACTTTTCTGGATTTTCTTCAACTATAGAATTAATATATTAGATGAATTTTACATGTACAGTTTAGAAATAATTGAACAATTGAGTAGCTATAAAATTTTAGTATTTACTAACCTTTTGTAGCATTTTCTGAAATTGACTCTGCAATTTTTGCTACCCACTGTGCATCATAAAGGTCTTTGAAGGTATTTTCTTGTGACTCACTAATTGAAGAGAATAAATTTTTTAATGAATGTTATTACTATAGGTTTAGTATAGACTAATGTTTTTTTGTAAAGTAGTATCTGAAGAAATATAAGATTCTTTTGTAAAATATGAATACTAACTTACCGAAAGTGATAATCTTGACATATTTGCTTAATGATTTGCGTTTTATTTTTTTCAAAAGAATTTTTATCCACCAACTGGGGTTGCAATCTACCAAAATGTTGTTCAATTTTTTTAGCTGCTAACACAGATATTTCATTAGCAATTCTTTTGTAATTAGGAGAACGGGGAAAATCAACAATGGCCCGTGATATTGTTGGAAAATGACAATTCAAATAAGTAATTCTGTGATTATAACTTGTGATGTGTGCCATAACAGTGCGTGGGTCTCCTCGTTTATCACAAAGTACACACGTATAACTTGGTTCTGGACTTGCAGAATCAACGACCTCAAGAAGATATTCTAAACCAACTAATGGTGAGCTTCTATGACGATCCAAAGTCATTTGAATAGTTGTAGACCTTGAAATTTGGTCTTCCATGCCAGGAGGAATTGGTTCTCCTGGAGCAACTGCACCTAAACTGGCTTTACTTTTTTTTACAAGATCTGATCGTTTTGACCATAGAGAAATTGGGTAAGGCCATTCTTCCAGTTTGATTTTATGTCGGCTACCAATATTATGGCTCAATATTTTATGAGCTCCAAAAAGGGCGTTATTGCAAATGTGGCACCAAATGTCACCATCTTCAGTCTCAGAATACACTGGTCGAAGAACTCCATCTTCAGCTGTGACACTAGATCTTAATAATCTTTTACGTTCATATTCCTCCTGAAATACAATAAGTTTACTTACTTCATAAATTAAAAATATCAAGAGTATGACATAATACTTCACAAGTCTGAATTCAAAAGCATTTTATTTGAATTCTATGGTAATGTAAACATACTCCCAATTTTCCTTGTTTTGTATGCACTTAATTTATCAACGTTTTTCGCTGACTATTTTAAATGACACAACAAGGTAGAATTTGTTGAGCAAAAAGTTCAAACTGATTAATAACAGTTGACTTTCATACATACACTAACCATTATAAAATCACTATGTTTCTGATGATAAACACTATGATAGATTGAAAAATTGAATAATACACATTGTATTATACTTTTTTATTTCATTTTGATTCAATGAATCAAAATTAAAAGTAAATACATGCAACTATTGTTGCAATAAAAAAGTTGTAATGCACTTGTTTAAAGAAAAATTATATTTACCTTTTCTTGATTTTCATGAGAAACACTTGATGGATTTCTTCCTTCGATGTCTAGATCATCAAAATTCTGCATGGTTAGGTGTCACAAATAACCATCAAAGAACTACCACCAAAGATTACGTCTGAAAATTAAGCAAGACTATTCAGTTTTAGGAAAAGTTAATATTAAATTTCTAATGCTGAAAGAACATTTTTTCAAAAAATTTTATATGAAAAATCATATTTATAAATAAAATATTTCAATGATACTCAAAAATTTCTTATTTTCAATAAGTCTTCTTAACAGGACAAATATTCATTTCGGGAATTATTTCATTTTATAAATTACATTGCAATGCAAGTAATTTTCTTCTTATTTTCTTCTTTCTTATTGAATATTAAAGATAAAATAAATCTAAAGTGCATTCATAAAATTTTATTAAATTAATGAAATTTTTACAATATTTTTCACAACATTTGTGAAAATTAGTCCTTAATGATTAATTTAGGATCAATGCATAGAATTAATACCAATTATAATAATTAAAATCAAAAAGAATTAATGTTTTAAAAATAAAAATGTTGAGTTATCAAGTTGAAACTAATCATGGTTTTTACCTAACAGTCTGCAACAACTGAATTTAAACAAATAATTTTGAAAAAGATTATTTAGTTAATTATTTAGTCAACATTTTTATGAATGAATTACACATAGAAAAAATTTAAAACCATAAATAAATTCAAATCTCAAATGATTTGTGTAATAAATAAATTCTTTTATAGTATTACTGCCCTAGGCCACGAAAAACAGAAAAGTCCCAGAGTACGTGTAATTAGTGGCTGAGGCAAAGCCAAGGCCGATAAACATGTGCTCTGGGGCTATCTTTTTTCGTGGCATAGGCCTGTATACTATTTTTCATACACAGTGGCCAGAAAATTGCTCTTCTTACTTTGTGCAGCGGCAGGAAAGTAGTCACTTTTAGGCCGCTGGTATGAAAAATGTATTTTTTTACATCAATTTTAGTAAAATTTTGAATTCTATTCAAAGAACCTAGTTTAGAATACTTTTAGATATATGCATAATTATATAATAGCCATCTTATTATTTGAATTAAGGCTTCCAGCTACTTACCAGGGAAAAGCTGGGATCACATAGAGTATTATGAAGAACGAATTTTTCCAATTTTATAACACTATTTCATCAAACTACTGATAACTTTAAAATAAGTTCTTTTCACAAAGTTAAATAACACCTTTAACTTTGCTAATGAAAGAACATGTTTTATGTTAGTTTTTTTTAAACAAAATATTTAAGTTTATTCCAATTTTTGGTATTATTTAAAAAAAACTGTTTCTGTGCATTATGCATTCTTTTAAACATTGAAAAATCACTCTTTATAAGTAGTATTTATCTTAAATAAAAAAGAAAACACATCATTTGTGTTTAAATCAGTTTCGAATTCCTAAAATAGTTGTAGCAAGAACTACTGTACAATGTTAGTACCTATTTATCTGTAGCATTAAAAATGTACTTTATAATGCTGACAATTGCAAGCTCATTATTAATCTAAAATTAATGATTATTGTACAGAACTGAATTTTTAAGAATAAAAAGTATAATTTTTATCATTATACAATTTAGTGATATTGTCTTGTTAAGCAATATGGAAGGTAGTAACACGTTTCACGTTCATGTAGCGCGGTCTAAGGAAATTAAATACAGCACACATCTTCAAGTTTATTATTTGAATTAGATATAGTTCAATATATCTTCAAATTAAAAAGAAATACTGTGCTGTTGTTTTTGTACCCCGGAATGGCTTAGCTTAAAGTTAAAACAATAACAATATATGCAAAATTGCTCACCCAAACCCTCTAAACACTGGCGCAAAGCAATCTTTGAGGTACTTTTGTTTGTTTTTGAAAATGACACAATTTTTGGAAAGTAAACTGACTTCTAAAATATAAATTTAATTTATGAATTTTTGACACAATTAAATGTGTCTTTCAGTTGTACTCTCAATACGTTGATGATAAAAGCTTTGATTCAGTTAATTAATTGCTCACATAAAATTCCTGAGCTAGAATAATTGAATGTTCAATAACATGTTTTCTATAATCTTTAAAAATATTCTTTAGAAAGCTATAAGCCTTTCAAAATAGTTATGTTAATGGCTTCTTATTGCTTTTTAAAAAACTATCATTCTTAATTGCTTAACAATTATGTTTTTTATATGCCCAGAATCCGGCATACCTTTAATGATTCACAAAGTTTATCATAAAATTGCATTCATAGTAAAAAAATTTTCGTTGTTCAACAGTTTATATATAGTATAACTCAGTATACCTATACAATAACTTAGAATTTGAAATGTTTGTCAATCAAACAGACACACTTTATCTTCGTTTAATTAATTGAGCAGAGATATGCAAGCAGAGAGATCTTGCTGTGAAATGATATCAACCTCACTATTTGATTAATAACCTATGAAAGTATTTTCAAAATCTGTGGCACAGAGGCAAAACGATTGAAAACAAAAATAAGATCCTTAAAAATCAATCATGATTTAGGGTCTTGATGGTATTTTTGTGTCAAACGACGAATATCGAGCACGATCCAAAATCGAAATATATGAAGATGAATATTTTCAGTAAAAAACAATTGCTGAAAAGTACAACGCAGTTTTTTGTTGTCATTTGATGAACATTATATACCAGACAGGCTGTAAAATTGTAAAAGTTCAAAAGATATAAATATTGAAGGAGTACACTTACCCTGGTAATCTTCAATTGATGACAGTTGAACTGTACAAAAATTTTTGTTGTCCAATAACCTTGAGCAAACAACAAGTAATTTTTAAAGCAAAATGTTCTGCTACATCAAGCGTCTGAAGATACAGCGGCCATATTTGAGTCGAGCATGCTTTGCTTTGTTAACACACGTTTAACGAACCCCTAAACTGTTGAAGGTTCCAACCTGCTTAAAGACCTAGTTGCACGCGGAGTGGTGGTTAGCTTAAGACTTTACTGGTCTTGGAGATGATTTTTGAAAGCAATGTTCAATGAAAAAGTTCGTAAAGAAAAATGACAATCTTTCCGACTACGCCATAAAGGTGCAGGTCTCACCACGACTTTATTCTAAAGATGTAAGCTTGTGCAGGGTCTTTCACACTCCACAGCTGTACTAGGTATATTCGTTCGACCGTCGTCCGTCCGGTGAAAGGCGAGCGGCAACCCGACGAACTGCAATACATAAATACAGCACCAATGCAGGCACATGGCGAGTGGCGACGCCTCACGCCACTCTGCACGTAATTCAATTTATTTTGAAGTGTTAATTTTTTTGAAATTGCATGAGTTCATTCTTAATTGTGCAATGAATTTAATAATTATTCGAATATTTCGACTTTTTACGCTTACTTGTAGATTATTTGAATTATTTTTTGAACATACGAGATTTCGTAATAATTATAGAATTAAAAGTACTACGAATGAGAGAATTAAATTCGTGCAATTCATTAATTAGATTTATCATTTTATGTTAAATGTTTCCACTCTTTTTTTTAATCGAATTTTTATCAGATTATTTTATTTTAATATATTTTGTCAAATGATTTCTCACAAGCTACTATCGTCTCACGTTGAAACTTATTCAAGCTATACCAATTCAATTTACAAATATTTGTTTTAGTCATCTTTTTTAAATAAACTATCAGTTGCACATTTCTCTTACTTGTCAGGCAATGTAATTTGCTTGTCAGGAATGCTTTCGTCACCAATGAAAAACTACTTACGAATTGGAGTTGAAGATCGCGTGTAGAACGTAGAAAGATCTCTGAAATTCTTGATATTTTATGTTTTGAAATTTTATGAAATGATATCTGAATTTTCAAGTTTTATAAGCACCTCACATGTCTCGATTTCTACCATTTTTCTGCGGAATCTGAGAGAGTTATCGAGGATAGTTTAAGGGGGTTAGGGTCTTGACTGAACTTGAAAAAAAATTTAATATTATTATTTTTTGTTGAACATATAATTTTCACACTATTTAAGTAGATAATATATGAGGCAATGACGTCGAAATGATGATTAAATGCATTTTAGGACACATGCATTTAACATGTAAGATGACTTTTTACCTTCATTTTTTCAAAAAAATAATTTATTTGATTTTAAAATGATGCCATAAACACAAAACTCATTTTTAATAAAATATTTCGACGTCATTACCTCATATTATAAGTACTTAAATAGTGGGGAAAATTTGAAAAGGATACAGTGTTTTTTTAAGTTGTGTGAGAAAATTTGCTGTAGTTACCTTATTTTTTATTATTTTGAGCTGAAATAAATATTCATGATGTAAATAATTTATAGATAAATCCATTTTACTATGTGCCCCAAAAAAGTTATTAAATTGACCCTACCCCCTCTTTAAGAACATGACTTGTGGACACGTAGTAAGCAGATTTCTTGAGAGGAAGCCACATAAGCAATACTTCTGATTTCATACACTTAATTGTACGCACGTTTTATAGGATAAGAGCACTTGTAAAGCGACTGCGAGTCATACATCTTATTTTACGAGTTCAATTCAAACATTTTCGGATATAATATGATAAGTAATATCATTTTTTTTTTAAACAATTTAAATTTTTAGGGGGGTAAAATGTATTTAATAGCAGATACCCTAACATGAAATAAGCACAATCAAATTTAGAATCATGTAGAAAGATGACATTAACAATTTAGTCTTTATCGCACAAAACTTGAATTAATTGAAAACACATAGACGTAATAAAGGCAATTACTTGCGGAGGCATCGATTCAAAATATAACTGTTAATTTTATAACGGCTAATCCGATCTCGAGAGGAAAATTTCATGCGAATGGTATAAAAAATAAAAATCGACGAGAGCCCGGAAAGAGGCGCAATCTCGAAGAAGCAAGTACAGAAAAAGGAAGGAGATTTGGGCGAATCGAGCGAGGCTCGACGACCTTGCACGAAAAGTCGATTTAATGGTGTGTGTCCGCAGCGCGGCGACGATCGCATTTATACGAGGATAGGAGCGGATTGCGTTCGACGGCATCTGGATTGTCGGTTACGAGCGCGTCCAACGGTATTTTCGACACGAGAGGTCGGCGCGCGATATGCGTGTGCAGCAGCAGCTCTGCATGCACACGTCGCGATCAAGCACGTGGTGAACGGGCCTGCGAAATGCGACTCCTCGGGTGGGAGAAGAAGCCTCGCCGATCCGAGCCACCATCGTCTCGTATGCGTTTCGCGCGCTCGATGGCGCATCGACGAGTCGCCCGCGCTGTATCGATGAGGCATCACCAGAATCCGATCGCAAGACCATCATCCGGTGCCATCAGCGAAGTGACATGATTCGGCGACACTTCCTCTACCTGTTGTTGCTCCTTCAGCTGTGCATCGAGACCTACCAGTGGCCTTTTTCCTACTGGTGGTCGGGCACGTCCTCCAAGTCCCAACTCCCGGTGCACAAGGCCATAAGCGCCGCAGCCAACAGCTTGTTTCCTAGAGGTAAGCCTCGACTGATAAATTAATTCCAGTTGACTTATTTGTAACTGACTTTTCGTGAATTGAAAACGATTTTTAAAATAATCCAGCGATATAAAATTGTATCACGAGGTGTTTTCGTGATTCATTAAATAATAATATCATAAGCCTGTTTGGCGAGTTTTTGTTTCTCTGTCAATGTATTACGGTTATTCAAAGGGTAAATCATACGCTTGTGCTACACTCGAAGAGATTATTCGCTACTGTGTACGTTGCAGATTTTATAATTTATATTTAATTTATTATTTACATAAAACTTTGGATTTATACGTTTTATTCTGTTCTTGAAACTGCAAAACCTCTGCCTCAATAAAATTTACCGTATAATGTTCATAAAATTATTTCAAATTTACTTAAGCTAAAATATAAATATTTGAAGTAAGAGTTTTTATAGGCGAGTATTTAAACATAGTATGCTGGATGATATCTGATGGTTTATGTACTAATTTATTGAACACTTCAAACGTTACATCAACTTTTTTTCAATAATTTTGTTAACAAAAATAAAAACAATATCTTACTCCGTCATTATAAAGCATTCATGTTTGAATTAAAAGAAGCCGCCGAGGCTTAAGGAGATCTGGACCCCACGTTTTTATCGGGCGAGACAAGCAAAGTTTTTTTTATTTTTAACTTTTTCTGTAATTCGAATTTCGACAAATGGCTCTAAGGCGACCTTCACTTTGTCTCTAAGAATAAGTAGTTAAAATTACAGCCCATTCCATTGAGCAGATTTCCCGGAAAACTGGATTGAAAATTTTGATCAAGCATGGATCAAAAGTCAGGATCAAAAATTATAATCCAGTTTTCCGGGAAATTTACGCAATGGAATGGGCTGCAATTTTAACTGCTTATTCTTAGCAACAAAATGAAGGTCGCCATAGAGCCATTTGTCGAAATTCGAATTACAGAAAAAGTTAAAAATAAAATAAACTTTGCGTGTCTCTGTCGATAAAAATGTGGGGTCCAGATCTCCTCAGAAAAATCTTTTCAGGGTCAATACACACGTTTCATTCGATTTAATAGCAATCATTGCATTAACTAAAATATTATTATTTAGTGATAATTGGTAGGTATTTTTTCCTGATATTATTTGAATTCTCTTCGTAAAAAATCGAATTGATCAAAAGATCGTAATCGAATGCAATCGAATAATAATCGAAGATGCAATTGAAAAAACCAGGATATTTAAACTGAACGAGAGGTTGAACATATTTTTACGACTATTTTAGGTTTTATATAAGAAAATTAAATATTTGATGTAAACAATTTAAATAATTTATTATCTTCACAAATTTTCAAAAATATACAATTTGTATTAAAAATAACAATATTTAAAAATTAGGATAATTAGGAAATTAGGAGGAACAGTAACAAGGAACAGTAACAATATTTAAAAATTAGGATAATTAGGAAATTAGGAGGAACAGTAACAATTTCATTAACTTAATATTCAATAACAGAATATAAACAATTTCAATAACAATATAGAAAAGATAGCAACCTGAATTTTTCAATTCATTTTTAACAAAAGTAACATTATAAAAAGTAAAAACAGTTGCACTATATTCATGGCAGCACCTGTGAATATAGAAAATTTAGTTGAATTATCTTTTATGAGGGCATTAGATTCTTTTTTATTAACATAAGTCTATCTGTTCAATTACCTGAATATACGCAGACCAATTCATTGTTGAGAAAGTGTTCTGGCTTACACGCGCACGTATTACCTTGACATTCCAATGTATTATCTCCACCCTTGCCATCGGAATGGTAGCAGCTATCGTTAGCTCTGTCGCACGGGTGACCATACTCTAAAACCGATCAAAATAGTCCTTTATCGCTTACATGATAATATTTACGACAGAATGAAAAAACTGATGACAGAAAAAAGAATGGGCAAAACGTTTTTAAAATTTCATATAACATAATTCTAATTCAATGAGCCAGAGTAACGCACTAAAATACCACCGAGACAGTGTAATCTAAAAAACAAGTGCAATATGTGACGCATAGGTATAGTCGTAGCTCAATGAAATGAAAGAAAGGTCAGTGATCTGAAGGGTTCGTTGAACCAGTATATAGACCGTGAGCATACACGCACGCACACACATACTCTCAGATGCGCACACACGAAGCTGCAGCAGCGGCAGCAGCGAGAAAGGGTAGTGTAATGGATCAATCTCACCTGTATTACGAATGCATCGTTTGCTCGAGGCACTGTAATGATGCCCGAGCTCGCAGCGACAGCGACGCTCGACGCAGAGGGCCTCGCCGAGGCTGTCGGCGGCGCATTGGACGCTCTCGGTGCACTCGTCGTCGAGATTCTGAGCTTTCGGCAGGCAGCTGTCTCGATTGCCGTTCAGGATGTGCGTCTCCGGGCACTCGCACGCGCCGGACTTGCAGACGCTCATCTTTACTTTTTGACAGTCTTCCGTTTTCGAGCAGCCGTCCACTTTGCCCACAGTAGTCGCTGCAAATTAATTATTTCGTCATTCTCGTACGTTCGTATGTTTATAATAATTAACGACTGCATGAGAAAATTTACAAAAGTAGAATTTCACGGAATATCGACTAATTCGCTACTTGTATTCTCGATTGATTTACGAGCTTTTAGGTATCAACAACATTATGAATTAGATAAATAGCCATGATAGCCATGCTATAAACACGTGCAAAACATCTAGGTCGGCCTATAGCAGACTTCGATTTTTCACTCACTCGGCCCATAACGAATTTATTAATCGAGATTATTATAGAGGAAGTCGTTTATTAAGTAACTTTTGAGCTAGGAAGTATAATCGATAAATACCTTCATCTCGAGATCTCGGCTTGACGCTGAGTTCTTTCTCTGTGCAGGGCTCGTAAATTTGTTTTCCCGGCTTGATGCAGTAGCAGAGCGGTGCGTGACATTTCGGCTTATTAGCTGCATTGATCACCTGCAGACAAGCATCGTCCGAAGAACACGGCACAGTTAAAGCGCCTGTCGGCAAGAATTAAAAGAAAAATAATTAATTCGTTTATATTACTGCACAAAGTCAATTTTTGCACAACAAGCTTTGCTTACCGATTTCTTCATTCAAAGTTAGAATAACGAATAGAAGTATGAATGACGGTCGCTTCATGGTGTTTTTATTAAAGTTCGGCAATTTGGAAACTGATGCTGACAAGTTTCGAACGTGCGTCCAAATCAAGAGATAGCCGGAGACTAATCTGTGTACAGTAGCCGCTAGACGCTACAATCACTGTCCAGTCACAGAATTATACACAATACACGCGTATTGTGATTTTGCTATTTCCTCGGTATTTCAAAACATCGAGTAGGGTAATGAACTCTAATTTATATTCACCTATAATACAAATTCCCTTCTCCTTGAAATTCTTTTGCATTTTTGGCGCTGCCTGATTACACGTTATTTGAATTGCTTTCTACCATAGTCATAAAACATTTTTTGTTTGAATCATATTCCCACTCAATGCAAACGCAAAAAATATCATTATGTGGGCTGCCCGAACCGATGCACGGCTCGAGATGACCCACGCGACTTTCTACGTATTCGGGCCACGCAACGCAAGTCAGCGGTCGAGTCAGCATGTCGCGCAACATGCAGGCCGATTGTCGTTGCGCGATAAAACCGATGAACTTAGCAGCGCAGATCATTCGAAACCGGCTCGCTACTTTATTAGATATGCATCGTCGTGCGTCGGTGGCGCGATCAAGAAAATGCGTCCGATTAGACGTTTTTGCGAGAGCGAAAGTACGAGAATTTATTGGGCAGTCGCAGTTCCTTAGCGAGCTAAAGTACACTCGAGCACTTCATTTTTTTTCTCGCGGTCAATCTTCCAACAGAGTCGGAGTCTATAATTTATTTTAAACTCCCTCTAAACATTATTAGTTCAAACATAGCAATAATTTCACCAATTATTATATTAAAAAATAATGAATCGTGATATAAGTTTTAAACAAAATATAATTAAGATTTCTTGAAACAAATGACTTAAAAAATCATCGAGTTTTATTTTTTGAATTATCTTCAACACTTGCAACTATCAATTGTGATGTTATTATGAAGTAGAATATTTCATGATTTATATCATTCATTTTGACGAATATAATCAAATAATAAAAATATACTTGTAATGGATATGATTAGTACAGTATAATATTGTTTATCTTTATTCTAACCCATAAAATTTTTCTATTTTTCTTTTGCGGTTCCCGTGTTATCCATTTGCTTGGCAAAACAATGTAGTCTTCTTCCACCTTCATCATTTAATGTTCCACCCATAGTCAGTAAGTATTATTTTGACGCAGTATTTTTCTGCCTCGTCGACCCATTACAGCCATCTGTCTTATAATAGACATGATCAATAGAATCTAGAGAGCACGTGCATGTTTTCGTATCCTCAACATCACAGAGCATCGCACACATGAAACCTTTATTAAAAATAAATATTCGAACTATAAATATCGAATTCACTAACAATCAAAAAGTTTCTTTTATGTATGCAACAATAAAAAAATTCTATGCAAGTATGATTTTTAATATTGTACTTGTCTTTCCAATCTCGCCGAATCGACTTTCCACGTAGATGAGATTCCTCGAGAAAATGATTACATTATTATTCTAATAAAAACAAAGTTTCTGAAATTATTATCAATCTAGACTTTGCCTTTATGATAGTGACAACTAAAAAAACGATAATTAATCTGTTTTATTCATTTGTAGTGCTAAACTTCTTTCCTGAGCCGGTGGCTGAGGATTGTATTTCGTCAGACAAGCGTCGCCGTGGAGTTTGCATGAACACCTATGACTGTCAAGAACGGCGTGGACATGCGAGTGGAAGCTGCGCCCTCGGTTTTGGAACATGCTGCATTTGTAAGTAATCCGCCCCTTTTTATGATTATACTTTATTTTTTAACCATTTATCGCAACTATTATTTTTATTCCATAAAACATCTTTATTGATCCCTATGGAATATTAGACCCTATCGCATCGCTTATCGATGTACACAAACATGCAAATACACGTGTACAGATCGCATCTATGTCAAGCGTCTGGGCTATCAAACCTCAAGTAATTTGATACAAACCATATAGCTTATGATTAATAATGGTCGAGTGCCTAATTAAACTGTTGAGCGAGAATATTAATAATCATCAACGATTCAGAAGATGAACATTATCATGTATGAAATTGAAGATATTTAGCGTAGTACGCAAATGTTACTTTTTTATTTTTTCAAAGCTTTGTTTCTGTATATTATTTGTGAATTATTCATTTTAATTTTATGCGTATAATTGAATAATCAACACGAACCACTTGCTTTTAAGATTATGCTTTTAAACTATATTTCCATACCATTGTGGTATAAACATGTAAATTGTTAAATCCGAACCATGTCTGAAGCAAATTTTAAGGTACGGATAATTGTTCTTGTTGACACTCGCTAAATCTACCAAATGCAGAACGAAGTATTAAGTTTATTTTGCATTCCTTATTAACAAATGAAGAACGATTCGAATAATACTTCTATGAACTATTTGTAAATGCAACATGAGTAGTTGAAACTTGTATGATTATCACGCTTTGTGAATATGCGCAGTGCTTTAATATTAAATGAGAAACATACGTTTTAAAATATTATTATTACATATAATTATGAAACTGTTTTGTTATTTTTAAAATTTTTCTTTGACATTTTGATAATTTAATATTCTATGCTTGTTAAAATCCTTTGTATAAATAAATACTTACAGAAATCATTAAAAAATTACAGTATATTTTATTTACACTATAAATTTCATATTTGTTGTTTATAAAAAGCTTCGTAAATATCTAGAAATAAAACTGTTGTCGTAAATTTTTAAAACATTATTTATAATGAATTTAGTAAAACGCGTTTGAAAAGTTTTATTTTTATCTTCATAAGCTTTGATATCTACTTATGTTACACTTAATATTGAAAAAAAATAGCAAATATTGTTGTAATATTATTGTAATATTATAGGAATTAAATAAAGTTATTACAAGTTATTAATACTATTCAATAAGATGGCGAGTCAAGCTTGAAAATTATTTCATTCGATTCATATAATTCAGATAACTTGCGAGAAAATTGAAACTTATGTTAATTAACAATATATTCATTTTTAAGACGTATCCTCTCTTCTTGGTTCAAACGAATTGAAAAATTAATTACGCATTTTTATTTATGCCCGAAAAAGTTATAACCGACTGTAGTGGAGAAGTTCAAAACAACATGACCTACATAACGAATCCAGGTTTTCCGAATCTTGTAGACCATCCAATGAACTGTTCAATATTAGTAAAAAAGGTCGACCAACAGATTAGTCAACTGCGCATCGATTTTCATCATTTTAATATAGTAAGTGATGCTTGCATTAATACGATTTTGAAAATTGCCACGAAATAATTGCACCATGATCAAATTATAAAAAGTACTTAAAATTATAATTATAATAATGATTGCATTTAAACGTTTCGTAAAGTTTTGTAGCGTAGCGAAATTGTAAGCACTTGAGTTGAGATATACCTATAAGTAAAAAGAAAAAACTTGCTTGTTGAATTTTTCTAGAAATTTTATTTTAATACGCGACTTTCAATCTCTTATCAACAGTGTTTTATGCATGGAGTATCACTAGTATTGAAATATAATAGTTTACATAGTTCTAATGAGTTTCTATTTTCCAGGGACAACCAAATCGAAAAACTGGAGTATGCGACGACGACATTATGGTGGTAAAGTAATTATTTTCCTACGTAATAAAGATACATAACGCGTTACTTTTTAATGTATTCCCCAAAAAAAGTTTTCCCAATAAAATGTCATTAAAAATGTTGTCATCGTATAAAGATGTTTTTTTACTAGGTTATTAACTTTAACGCGTCATCTCGCATGCTAAAATATTGGATGTACTTTCAGGTGAGATCAGGAGAGCGGACTTTGCATCTCTGCGGATGGAATAGCGGCCAGCATAGTAAGTACGTATACTGTTATGCATTCCTCGCGAATGCAGCGGCACATGAGCTCGTCGGTGCAGAATCATTCTGATCAAAGCAATCGCGCGCGGCAAACCTACTCTCGAGTTACTTAAGCGCTGTGATTAAGCACCTTCGTGTAGGTACTCGCACAAGTTTGTTCTCTCGCACTCCTGCGCGCGCGCGAGTCATTACAGTCAAATTTCCGTACGACTGTCGATAAGTCAATGAGACGTCAATGCGCCGCCGCTGCTCTAGATGCTGTTCTAAATTAATGAGTGATCCGATTGCTCATTAAATTTACTGATTCGAGTGATAGTGACGCCGGGAAATAACAACTAAATTTATCAAACAAATTTTTTTTAAGTTTTGACTAAAAAATCTGCTTACGCGTCTAGCAGCAACATAACATAGTTATTTTACAAATTATTTAGATAAATAATCGGTATGGTAATGTATTTACGGTTAATCGCAAGTTTTAATTAGTATAGCCTCAAAGTATAATGATTAAAATGCAAATAGGAAAAGAAGGTAAATCGTGCAAAAGCCGAGTTGCGCAGGTCTCGCGGAAAACTCCAGTCTCGGATCGCATCGTAAGAAGTTGATATATTTCGTGTGTTGCAGTCTACGTGGATATTGGCGAGGAGCCAGTGACGATAAACTTTCGATTGCCAGGTAGCATGACGTCGCGCATGTGGGAGATGAGCGTGCAACAACTGGGCTTCGAGCAGCGAGCGCCGGCCGGCTGCCTCCAGTACGCGCGCTCCGTCAACGGCACCCTCCGAACCCTCAATTACCTGCCGAACGGCCGCTACCTCGCCAACTACGACTACCTGATCTGCATCAGGCAGGAGTACGGCATGTGCAGCATCGCCTACGAGCCCTGTGGCCGCGACTCCTTTCGCATCGGGAGCTCGCGTCGGCTGCGCAACGCCACCACCCTGCAGCAGATCACCACCGAGGCTCCGAGCATATTCGACTTCGACTACGAGGGCTCCGGTGCGTCCGCCGAGCAGCAATTCTCCGCCGTCGGCAGCAGCGACGGCTCAGCGACGAAAAAGTGCCGCGACAGGATCCTCATTCCTTGCGACTTTGAGGAATTCATTACGGTGAGACTTTATTCGCGCTTGTAAGAGCTTCGCTCGTAGTCGAGGGATCATTTTAAAGTCAAAGTGAAAACGATCATTTTTTAATGCTTTTTACGTAAACCGCTTAGTCTTACGCGTACTTAATGAATCTCGCACGAATTTACAAGCGTCGAGAGTATTAAGAGCTCTCAAGATTCGTCGATGCAGTGCTCAGTGGTAAATTTCGATTAAATAATGTGCTAATGTTGAGCCTGCGTTTACATAAAATCGAAGCGAGCTCATTTACAATTCATTCGTGTAACGGAGCCGTTGAATCCGATGCCTTGATGGAGCAGTAGCCAACGCGCAGGGATAGACCGCTCAGAGTCTTAATGCAGAAACGAGCGCCCTCGTGTACTTGGCGGTTTAATTAAGGGCTTATAAACTTGCCTCTTCATTCGATTTATGACATTCAACTGGCTTACGAAAATCATCGTAGCTCTAGGGCCTGTAAAATCTACTTGCGCACAGTTTATAACTTGACGCGCGATCTCTTCTACGTACACACACGCGCGCGCCCGCGTACGTTATACATACAGCTAAGTGAATTTAAGTGTTAACACGTGTATAAAAGCTGCGGAAGCCTCGAAATGGCAAAAGGTCAATTTGCAACTTTGAGCTGGGGCAGGAACGCGGCGGCGCTCGAGCTTTCGGCTGCCTTCAAAGGGCTCTAACTTTTCACGCTTGTTTTATAGCCTGGTAACGACGGCACCGGCATCTGCGACCTTGAACACTGCGGCATCTCCTTCTGTCCAATGACGACGAGCACGACGACGAAGCAGCGGCCACAAACGACATCGAGCGAAAACGGACCGAACTGTCGCGTGGAAACTTCGGCGCTTCCTTTCCATATAAGAGTGGACTTTGGACCGGCTGGGGTGGAAACTGCGGCAACGCCGCCCGAAGACATGACTGGCATGTGTCTCAGCTATGAGCAAATTCCTTGTGCTTCTTAAGTCACCTTGCCAACTTCCAACTTTGTCTTCGTCTGAGTTTCGCGTAATGTGTACTCGTTCGTATATTTTGATGTTGACCTTGATGCGCTTAGAGTTTGATCAACATCATAGTCACAAACTGTTGTCGATATTTTTACGAAACAATCATTTTTAGGACGTTTTCATAACTAATTGCAATTGTTTTGTTGTTTGTTAGATTTAAATTAAGTGAAGACAATATAGACTTATTTAATGTTACTTGCAATCTAAATATTGATCTTGTGATTTATGAATACACTTGACCTCGATAAACTTAAAATGATAAGTGTTTCATGTGTAATCATTTATATAGAAAAAAATAAATGATATGTAATGAAAAAAAATTACCGAAAACTTTTTTATGTTACTGGAATTTTAATAATCTATGGTTTCCATTTCGGCTAGAGCTGTGAATTTTTTTTCACTCAAATTCTCAAGTAGGAAAAATGTAGGAAAAACTTTTTTACTACATTCCAAGTACGTTAGTCACTCCACTCGAAGATAACAAGAAAGTGATTTGTTATTGTGAAAAAGAACAGGGTTGCTCTCTGGAAGTCATTATATGGCTAAAAACCTATCGATGTCAAATTGTCTCAAAAATTCAATACTGAGAACCAAAACTGTCATACAATAGTTTTTCAAAATTAAAAGTAAAAAGTAAATGATTTATTATAAATAGCTGATGGTTCGGACACAAGATTTATGTATATTGATGAGAACAGAAATGGTGGCTATGAATCCATTGTCTCTTCTATTCTTTTGGAGAAAAAGAGACAATGGATTGGGAAAGTTTTCTTGATTGCGCAAGCTCTAGGTTTGCTTAGGCATTTGTTAATAAAGAAAGTTTTCTGAAGCGCACAATGCATTCGGATGTTTGGAACAGTCATTAGTAGTGTGCTATTTTAGGCTGCTGCTGCTACTTGCACCCCATCTATTAAATCTGGCTTGGGAATAATTTGTGACTAGGAATACTAGTATCAATTTTTTTAACATTAAATTTTTATAACCTGATAAATTAAAGTTCGTCTGTATTTTGTTTCAAAACAAAAATATAAGGATGGGTATTGGCATAAAAGAACAAAATATTAGATTTTTAAAGAGTCAAATAGTTTTATTTACAAATCAGTGAGCTTATCTTGAAGCTTCTGTTATTACGTACAATACTTTTATAATATATAATAATAATATGTTGTCATATAATATTAAATCTATTGTAATTATAGTATAATTGTGAAAATCAGCAACATTTTTATACATATCATTTTTATTTATAACTACTTGATGCGTACTTTAAAACGTAGTATGTGATGGCGCAAATACAATTGAAGTTTAAGTACGATATAATTTCAACTCATCACTCTAACGATCGTAATAGATTAAAAAATGTAATATTTAACAGTAATAATGTAAATTTTACTATCGTAAAACATTTGCAACGATTCACAGACTCTCATTCGTATCTATTGACGTGCACAAAAACTGCACTTAATTTTTTATTATTTTAAAAACAACCATAAAATATTTCAAAATTTTAAATAACCTGTGAAAAATTTTTCCAAAAATGCAATTATATATTCGAGAATACAAACGATGAACAAAAAGTATTTACACAAATTTTTCGTAAATATGTTTAATAATAGTCGCATAAATAACATGAAATTACAAAATATATTACGTACAACGTAAACAATTTTCGATAATTTTTTTTGATATTATATTGGTAAAAAAGGTTCATAGTTTCTCAATTTGACAGAGGAAAAGTAAAAATTGTAGTGGCATAGTTTCCTTCATTTTCAAAATCACTTGTTCGAATCATAATAGTAACTCAAGTAAATCGAAAATGTACTTCACTCAAAGATTTGATCGGGCATAACAGCTTGACTCGAAAATTAATTTAATCAATGTATATGCTCGGATATACACATATTATATGCTCAGGACGTTTTAGCTGTCTGTAATAAATTGGCTCCCGCAAGCACTGGAGAGCGCTGAAGTGGCGAAAATATTAATAACTGCTTGCGACAGGCTACGTGCTCGTGCGGCTTGATGAAGTATCGTTACAATAATGCACCGGATGAAGTCGTAAAGGTAACTAACAAGGGACTCTGAAGCTAATTGTGTCTTAGTGTCGATTCCGACCACCGCAGTATTTTCGGACTCTTGGCCGGTGTTATCTACGTACTGTTATTTCCATTTGTGTTCCAACCCAAGTACGTGTAAGAGCATGCATAATTTCTATGACTGCGCGACAATAACAAGATATTATTTATTAGTTTATCTGCCTCTTTGTTGGCTAGAACACGACTGTCATAAGGGTTTATTTCAACATTTTGGCTGATTTTAAATAGCTAGCGTATGCAAGCAAACAACGTACTCTCGATGGTACTTGCAAGGTAGTTACGTGCCAGTTAATGCGACCTGCACGCCCATTAAATGATTCCGTAAAAAACATTGAAGGGGCTAAAAACGTACTGTTTAGTCCCACATTCAAAATTTCTCAATTTATTTGCACGGATACCTTATTAACGATAAAATTGATATTCTACGTTACACAGTTATTATAGCTGGAGGGTGCAGTTATAAAAATTGACTGCGCTTTTTTGATACGATGTAATGAAACTTTGAAATCGTCAAAGTAGAATGGAAAGATATCTGAAGTATGTACATGTTTACATTTGCTAGTTTGGTCATTTCAATAGTTGCTTTTTCTCTGGAGATTTTGATAAATGATCACTAATATGTTTCCTCTATTTTTTTTTTTTAATTAAAATACCCCAATACCATGAATCATTCGATTCAATAAAAAAGAGAGGGACTGTTTATTAGCCAAAATAATTGATCTATGAATATCTATATATACACAAGACAATAATGTAATCAGTTATTTTCCCCATACCAAGTAGATACACTCAAAACGATATGTTACGAAATGAAATCTCAAGAAAAATTTTTAAGAGAATATCAAGGAACTTTTTCGTCAGCTATAAGTGAAAAAAAAAATATCAAAAAATAGTAATATATACTATTAAAAATAATATTGGACATGAAAATATAAACATTCAAAGACGTCAATCAATGTTAAAACTCTCTTAGGGTGACCACCCTAAGCATTAACTAATATTTGCCTGCGGAGCAAACCAAAGAATTGATTTGTCAAACTTACATCGATGTTGATAAATAACTTTTACGAATTTTATTGCATTTTGCATGAGTACTTTGATACAGGATGAATATAACGAGTGAAATTAATATTTAATTTTTTATGAGTGATAACGTGATTATAATAGTTACAAATTTGCGGCATTATATCTCGGTCTAATTCTAATTAAACATTCGAGACATTGTATTAAGAGCAGACTATTATTTTTAGAAAATGTATTAATTGCCACGATCATCAGCCTAAAGGAGGTATTCGTTCTGCGAAGAAAAAATGGTCTTGAACGCAGGGACAATTACCGAGTCGCTTTTGCACCTAGGGCCAGCTTTTATTTCCATTTTCGTTTGAACTCGAGCTTGTACTAGCACTTACATCTCTTTACCCGTTTCTAGGCAACTGCTTAAGCTATTATGCTGAATTCTGTATACTTTGTTGTTGTATTTTTTTATGAATCAAGTTTTTTTTCGAACTCGACGGATATAATTGTGCGAAACTGAGTGGAGCAATTTTCTACCCAATTAAACCATATACTTGTGTTTTGTTGCAAGGAAAAGAGAGTTATTATTTGATATATTTAGGCAAGCAAAGATATATTTTCACGACATTTATTATGCATACGTATAAAATTTACCTCTGCAAATGTCACTTTTGATACTCGATGTATACGAAAAATTGTCAATGTGTGCTTACCACTTGAAAATCATCGATACATAATGATTGTAACACAATGAATAAATCCATGTCATTTTTTTTCTCTTCGCACATGATTAGTATATTGATGTTAAAAATGTTTAATGGCTGCAACTATATATAAACAATTCACAGAAACATTACAAACGGTGATTTGAACTTAGCGTCTACTTATTAATAACCTTTTTTGTAAATATATTTGAATTTTTAGTAATTATGCTACTCTTCAAATTCAACAAGAGTCAACTTTTTTATTTGATTTGTTATTACGAAAAGATGTTATTTGTCATATGAAGTTTCCAGTGTGAACAACGTGACGTAAGATTTAATTCGGCTATTTGCTCATAAAGGTTTGAATTAATTTTTTTTTTTTTGATTATTCGTAACATTTATATATACTGGATATTTACGTACAAAAAAACAATGATCAATAAACTAGAGAAACTTCAACGAGAACTGTTACGTTCGTAAAAATGTCTACATAATTTACAAGTTACACGTAAAAAGGCTTCTCTCAGAATGTTTGTTCACATATAATGTCATGGCATTTCTTGCTCGCACAACTATAAATATACACACATATCATTAAAATTAGTTACAAAATTATTCACGATTAATTAAATTTATTATCAGGTTTGGTAAATACTTGTGCAGCATTATCGATACGAATTAGTCTAAAAAAACGGAAGGATGAGGATTTGAGTAATTTAGCGACGTGTGAACAAATTCTTGGAAAATACGACGGACTATAATAAGGTAGCCACACGCACACGTATATGTATAAGTGTACAGACGTTTTTCGTTTGTTTACCGTCATGGGTATATTAATGCGTAGCGTTCGTTTGTCCAGATGAAGAATGGCATGAATAATTGAGTCACAATTACAGTTAATTATCGAGACTTTTTTGTCCTGCTCTCGATCGTCGTCAAAGCAGTTGCGATATATATTCCGATAATATGAGTGGTCGATGAAAGTTCGATGAGCAAGTTCTGCGCTCTCATGTAGGTAATATAAGCTCGTGCACGAGCGCGCGTGACCCAATTAGGTCTCTGGGCTGTGTCGGTGTCTGTGCGCGTCGGTGTGTGCGGGCGCGTACCTCCAATCTCTATGGGCGATGGACCATTCAGAGCCTGA